AAATACAGCAGTAGTATAAAATGTATGCTCAAAATATCTTGAGATGAGTAAACCCAATTGTTTAATGACCCATTGCTACAATTTCTTTCTTTTGAGGGGTAAAAATACAATGCTAAACACAAAGAATTTACAGAGATGCCAAAACTTTGTCCTAGTTTGACTCAGTAGTTAATTTTTTTTCAATAATAAAGCTATGGGGAACTTGGAAAAATGCAGTAATGTGTCCCTACATGTTCCCTTTTGAGTTTTATGTGTGTAAGTAGTGAATAATGACTGAGACACATGGGAAAGGAAGGATTGCCTTGGGAACCTAATGGGAAATTGGTCATTTCTGTGAGTAGTAATGGTATTTGGAACCTAACTAACCCCTGAAGTCAGTTCTGGCCTGCCCCACATGAAGAGCATGAACTGGTTTTTAGGCTGTTTTCCTCCCTTTTTCTCACTTGTGTATGCAGGTGCAGAGTTTCCAGTAGAAGGAGCTGCATTTGATTTCTGAAATACCACTCGTGCTCAGTGTTCAGGCAGTGAAGTGTGAAAACCTCTGCAGGCAAATCCTCACGAAATAATGTTGGTGTTCAGTGGTTGAAGGGAGTGGGAAGGAAAGCCTGACTGATGTGCAGTGTGTGAGGGCTGACAGTGCCTGCCCTGATCCTCCCTTCAGCAGAGAAGGGTGGTCCTTGGCACAGCAGCAGAAACTGCTGAAGAGGAGATGGTGGCAGAGGTCAGGCACAATTTCAGTGCAGAAACTTGGCACTTGCTAAAAGTCTGTAGTGAATAGCCTTGGCTTTTTTCCCCCTAAATTTATGCTCTTTAAAACAGTCCTTTGCCTTTATGAGAAATAAGAAATTACTCCAGATGTAAAGCAGAATAAAATAGCTACAAATTGCCAATTAACATGTTTTGCCATTAATCTAAAGGTTGATTACTTTGAACCCCAGCCTGAATTTCAGAAGAGTTAGTTATGTACCATTTTCTTTGCTAGGAGGATTATATTACAAAAATAAGGACAAGACAAGCTTTGGTGTGATTACAAGGGAAAGATGTATATTTGTAACTTAACAAGTAAAGTAAGAAGCCCCCTAAACCTGTCCAGATTTGTATTGAAGGCTGTGTTTTGGGCTCTGGTATGTGAACTGTTAAAATCTTCCCCAGAAATGTTTTGTTTCATTGCAGAGGTGGCTGTGTCACGTCAGCATGAGCTGATTTCTAGCAATCTTCTTGTAAATCATCTTTGCTTAGTAACTGTTTCAATCTACACATATTTTAATTGCAAAACTCAGTGTCCCCCAGATGAATCAGAACCTGTTAGGGCTGCTGCAGCTTTCTGGGGATACAAGTGCAGTTTCTCAACCACCTCATGCTGTTCCTGTCTTAGGTTCTAAGTCATTTCTGAGAAACACTGGATGAAGGCTTGGCTCAGCCTCTTCTCCACAGGCCTCAAGGAACAGATGCTCTTTTACTTCCCTGACATTTCCATTGGCTATTCTGGGATAACTGCAGGAGCTGAGTTGTTGGATTCCAGTTCTCTTCATAGAGGGAGCTTTCCTCCAAGATGTCTGGTAGACAGTGTGTCATCTTCTGCAAGATACAAATAAGGGTCCAATTAAATTATCTTAAAGAAATGCATTCCTTTCTTAGGACAGGAAATCTGCTACCCTTCCCCTTCATTAGGGCCCTGAGCTGTGAAAACTGCTAGTGAGCTGTGTGTGAGCTGTGTATGGATTATGGCTCTTGGAGAGGATGGGTAAAGCTCTGCTCATGGTGGCAAGGATGAAGAAATGCATCCTGCAGCCTGCACCAGGCTAGGGGTGTATCACTGAGCTGTGCATGGGTTATGGCTCTTGGAGAGGATGTTAAAGCTCTGCTCATGGTGGCAAGGGTGAACAGTCACTAGGTAAAGATGATTTACAGGGGTGTATTCACTGAGCTGCTTGTGCATGGAGTGACTCACAGGAGTTGAGACAGCCATGAGCAGGTATCTGGTCTTGTCTGTGTAATACAAAACTGGTGCTTAATAGAGCATTTGATTTGTAAAGTGTGTGAGACTCCTGACAGCTGTAAAGGAGAGATTTTGAAAGATACTCTCAGCCTGGCTGCCATTCAGTTGATGAACTGAGGGTATTTTGTTCATGCTCCATGTGTTGGTATTTGTGCTTGAAACCTGGCAATAAACTGTAGGTGGATGTAAATTGCCAAGTTTTCTCTTGAAATGAGCTGATAGAATTTGGCTTTTGTGGTTGCATTTGTGATGTTGGGTTTGATTCTTGCCAGCAGTGCTCCTTTTCTTGGCTCAGTAACCATTTAATTTAAATAAAGGGCTGATGCATTCACTCTGAGGCGGCAAAATCTCTGTTCTGTAGGAAAATTGATGTCAGCCTGAGGTTCACAAATGGCTGGGATTTTGTCACCCATATCTAGGGGGATTCTGAAAAAACTGCCTTCTGCCAATAGGGCTCCTTTTCCATACAGAGGTCTGCATCCTTTGGTTGAACAGAGTGTATAAACCAAGGAAAATCTTCAGAAACATTGCTTTGACTCCTTCTCTTAACTGAATAAATTTATCACTGGGTTTGTTGTGTTTCTCTGCTCTGTTTTTCAAAGCAGTGAGCTGGGGAAAGAGGAGCACCTTCCTCAAGGGCCAGGCTCTGTGGCTGTTGCTGCTGGGAAGACTGTGTTAACTCAAGGGGTGCTGCACAAAAGGGTTTTCTCTGGGTTTAGGTAATTTCTAGGGAAAAGGTGGGAAGCCCAGTGTCAGATTGCAGCAAGACTGCTTGTTTTGCTTTGCTTTGTTCTGTTTTGTTTTTAAGTGGAAAAGAAATGCAGATCTAAGACCTTCCAGCTTATTTTTCCTTTTTTCTTTTCTAACCATGACTAATTCTGGCTAGTTCAAACAAGAACATAATGAGCTACTAAAAATGTTAGAGCAGTGTGCCACTAATTAATGTTTCTGTGGGAATAGTTTAACCAGAAATGAGCATGTGTGTAAGTTTACTTAAACCATAAGGGAAATTTGGTTTGTGGTTTTGCTGTGCTCCCACGCTGCCTTCCTTTATCTGCCCCTTCGCAGCAAGAATTTTGCAGGTCACTATTTCACAGCTCCTTCCAGGAGACAGAGATTTCCAGGTGCCTGAACAAAGTAATGATTTTACCTGCAGTTTCATTTAACCACTTATGAAATGGTTGGGCAGAATCCCCAAATCACTCCAGTTGTAGAAATTCTCCTAGGTGAAGTGGAAGTATGAATTTGCACAGAGGAAATGAATTTATACCCTTGCAAGTAATGTGGGGGAAAAAAACCCACCAACCAACCAACCAACAACTGTCAGTCTGATGCAATTTATAAAATATTTTTAGACATGATCAAGGAAAGCAAATGTTAAATGGAGGAATGCAAGTTAGCTGGCAGGAGCAGTGAGAATTAATCACTCAAAACCAGTGTTTCTAAAGGGATTTTATAAAAGCTAAATCTAGGCCTGGTTTGGTCTTACATTTTTCTTTCTGATTTCAAAGTAATCATCTCTGATAAATTTGCACAGTACATGGATTGGTTGACAAGGAGGTTGCATGTAAACCTTTTGTAGATAAATATGAGATTTTGTGTCTGAAAACAGAGAGTAAATTCTTCATATAAAGTGGGGTGTCTGTGTCCTGACAAATGGCTATTGGCAAAAATGATCTCTTAAACAGCACAGCAATTTAGAGTGACTTTCAGGGCTGTATTGAAGAGACCTGGGGAGATTCTTGCACAGCAGAACAGAAGTGCAGAGTGGTATCATGTTGGCTTGCTTTGGACATGGTACTTACAAGACTTGTAATGGGTTATTGCCTCCAGTTCTCGTGCTTGATTTTTCAACAACTTTTTTAAAGCACAGAAAAAGTTTAGAGAAACCCCACTAAAATGCTCTAGATGCTGGAAAAAGTCCCCTAGGGAGAAGATTAGAGGGTGGAACAAAAAGGATTGAAACAGGCTTAATTGCAGCATGCTTCCACAGGAGGAAAATGTCTGCTTCCAAGGGACTTTTAATGTAGCTGAAATGCCTGGAGAAGGCATCATGAGCTCTGAGCTGCAGTTAGCCCAGAAGGGACAGGAGGCAGTGCTTTTGATGGTATGTGTGAATAACCATTAGAATGAGCTGAAAGAGAAATTAAAGCTTCCTTTTGCAGTTCCAAATTGTGATCCTCTCCTGGAGAATGTACTTAGTGAGGCACAAATCACTGAGGATCATCTGGGGGCAACAGCATGAAATTCTGCATCTTCTGGTGTAATGTGAGATGAGACAAATGACTTGGTTGTCTGTTAACCTCCTTAAATTCTATTGAACTGAAAATTACCATGTATTCTATTTTAAATATGTTACTTGGGATGGGTTTTTTAAAGTGAATTCCAACTATTTTTAAAAACACCCCATATTTATTACATCTAGATCTGTTACATGAGATTATCCATAACAGTGGTATCTTCTGTAGTATTTTGAGTTTATTGGTGACTGTAATGTTCCTTAAACATATTGAGAGATGCTTGTTCTTTTCTTCCTCTCTTCTATATGCTGTTCACCCTTCCTTGGAGAATATTTGGGTCAGAGACTTTGCAGCTTGGAGATTACCAAGTTTCTTTTTAAAAATTGACTGTTTCTCTCTCATAAATCACATGCTCACTTTATTCAAGGGATTTGAAGATATCCCTGTGTTATGGCTAGGCACTTCTTGCTAACTGTATTCTAGAACTGAGTATAAATAAAATCCCATATTGCAAAGTTTTGGTGTTCTGTTTTGGCTGCTGGTGAGGGGAATTGTTGTGTAATCCTTTTGATGAGACTTCCACAAATGCATATTCTGGTTTTAATCAAGGTGGTTTTTTTGAAGGTGGGGGAAACAAAACCAGAAGAGCGTGCCTAAACCTGCTAGTCTGGGTTGCAGTGTGTGTGCTTCCATCAGTTCTGATGCTGTGCTAAGCTGCCCATGTGTGCCTGCTTTCTCTAACTCCTGTGTTTAATCTTCAGATCTCTGATGGCCAAGGAGATGAGCGCTCAGAGTCCCCCTATGAGAGTGCTGATGAGACTCAGACTGAAGTGTCTATATCATCCAAAAAATCTGAGCGAGGAGTGGGAACAAAAAAAGAATATGTGTGTCAGGTGAGAGACCTTAGCTGGGCTGTGTTTCCTGAGCTTTCCTAGAAAAGGTCTTTTTAAATACGAAAATGACAATATTAGGCCTGAAACAGGTTTATCATGTGTGTCTGAGATGTCTGTTAGTGATGAGGTTGCCATGGCAGTAAATGGGATTCTTAATACCTAATTATTTTTTCTTGACCTCCAGTAAATGACTTGGCCTTTCTGCTTGAGTTTCCAGGTCTGTAAGATAAGCATAATTTGTAGCTCAGAAGAAGCACATGAGTGTTGCCAGGTGACTGGTCAGATGATGCAGAAGAGCTGCTGGTTTCTCTGTTAGCACAGAGGAGGAAGCCCAGCCCAGTGGGGTTTGTGCCCTGCCTGCAGCAGAGATGGCAGCACTGCCCTGCCCTGCTGTGCTGTGCTGTGCAGGCAGGAAGCCACTGAAAGCAGAAGCCTTTCCTCACACTGCTCTAGAAGGGCTCTTAGGCTATCATCCAGATCAAATTTATTTCTGTGAGGCTGTGCAAGCAGCTACATTTACACTTTTTGTACATAGTGGGAATAAGGTTGTATCTGTCTGTAAATGTTGGGTGATCCTTAAATTCTGCCAGCACTGTTGTTGGGTTCATTTTTAGTTATGCATGTGTCACTGCTAACCACTCAGACATAGAGGTATCATTGTGCCAACTGGACTGATGCCCTTTTACCAAGGAAAAGGAAAGGAAAGATGCTTTTTAACCCTACTCAGATGCATCAGTGTGCTCAGGGAATATTTCTTACAGCTTTTTTTTTTCTATTCCTTTTTTTTCTGTCAGGTTGTATTTACTCCTGAACCATGGTCTGAGAGGGATGTTTCTGGTGGTTTAATGATTCTGTTACCTGTTTCAACTTGAAGCCAGGGCATGTGACAATGCTTGTAAAATTACCTTTCACTTGTTAAATTTGATTTCAACAATGGGGAAAGATATTTTGAGGAGCAGTATATGAAAAGGAATAAAGAAAAGAGTTTTTTTCCACGTATGAACTTTTCTTTAACATTCAATGCCTTTGTGTTGTAAAAGCTGTGTGAAAAAACAGGTGATCTCCTGCTGTGTGAAGGACTTTGCTATCGAGCTTTTCATGTAAGCTGCCTTGGGCTCTCTGGAAGACCAGCAGGAAAATTCATTTGTAGTGAATGTACATCAGGCAAGTCTGTCCCTTTCTATTAATCAAAAAAAAAAAAAAAGTTATAGTTTTCCTATATATTGGTGTAGGATATCCTCCTGGACAGAGTATCCTCAGAGAACCTTTACTTATCCTTTGGGATGTGACAGGGTGGGAGTCCATAGAGTGCCACTAAGTGTGCCATGTTTTACAAAGTTCACCCTGTTTTCAGTGAGAACTCTCTTGCAAAGTGGCTAATTTAATCAGAATTCCATTGCCTTAATAACTGCAGATTGTTTGCTTTCTGAGTACAATTAGAGATGAGGTTTAAAGTCTGTCACGACTTAAGAAATTGTAAAAAAAAGAGCAGTGAACGAAACGTTTTAAGTTCTTTTTCAGTCCTTTGTGTGTCTGCATCAGTCTTGCTTTTCCTGTTAAAAGACTACCTTATTGCTATTAATTTCATTTGCTTTTAATCCTGTAATAACTGCTTGGAAGTTCTTAATCTCAAAACTTTACATAAGATTTGTGTTCTTGCTCATAAGCTCGTTTCAGTACATGCAGTAAACCTTGCTGGAACTACTGCTTCAAAATAAAACTGTTCCAGCTAGTCCAGAAAAAAGATTAGAGGATGGTTGTCTTTGGCTTGTGGTCCTGCTTCAAATTTCAGAAGACCACAGACAAGACCATCGTCCTATTCCATTGGTTTAAAAAAAAATTGAAAACTAAAAATTCCTACTTGTCCTGGCATTCTGAGACTTATAAAATCAGATTGGTGAGGCTTTGGGTGTTGTGTATGCCTCAACTGCAAATGGGTTTGCTTTATTTTATTTGTATCTGAGCAGATCAGTATTTAATACTGAAGAGCTAAAGTAAATAGATTGCTGCATCAAGTAATGCAATTGATTTGTTGAAAAAAACCTCCTCATACCACAAAAGCAGTTCCCTCATACATAACATGAATTTTAAACACCTCTCTCATGCATTTATGTGTTTGGATATTACATTTTGTTTATCATTTTGCCACTAGGTGTGCACACCTGTTTCGTGTGTAAGGAGAGAAAGGCAGATGTGAAACGCTGTGTTGTGTCTCACTGTGGCAAATTCTACCACGAAGCTTGTGTGAAAAAATTCCATCTCACTGTCTTCGAGAACAGGGGCTTTCGGTGTCCTCTCCACAGCTGCCTCAGTTGTCATGTTAGTAACCCCTCACATCCACGAATTTCAAAAGGTAGTTCCATTTTATGTTTTTATGGCTGATGAATTCATTTTATTTATGGCATGTTAAGGTAAAGAATGTGTTCATTTGAGAGCTGCTAGCTGCAGCTTTGTTAGGCATAAATGGACTGTCAGTTCATTCAGAATTTTTTAAAAAGTTGTAATAGAGTAAGTTTTAGACAGCTTTAGTATTTACCTTGTTTGTGCTCTTTTTTTAACTAGCTTTCAGTTAACCATAGTCAACCATGTTTTCTTCTCAAGAGAGAATGAAATCTAGAATGTATAATGATGAGGAGAGAGGCAAAGCAGTGAGGGCAGGACCTGAGAACGCACAAACACTGCAGCAGGGCTCGATGAACATGGAGACATTTTGATTCTGTGCAGGTTTTTAGCTTTGGGCAACATTTGCAGACAAAATTACATGACTCAGGAAGAGCTGGTTTATGCTGATATGCATAATTAAAGCTTTAAATTGGGAGTAAAAAAAACCTTTATAAATTCAGTATCGTTGCAAATACGCAAGCATTGTAAACACAATGGCTGGGATTTTGTGTGTGTGTTGGGTGTCTCAGCACCTCTTCTTTGCTGAAATAACGAGTCAGTTTTGTCCCAGAGCACCTCAGCAGTGCTGTGCTTTGCCACACGTGTCCAGTGGTGCCCAGGGTGACCTGTGAGTTGGTGCTTTGCAGGGAAGATGATGCGCTGCGTGCGCTGCCCGGTCGCGTACCACGCCGGGGACGTTTGCATCGCGGCGGGGTGCGCCGTCATCGCCTCCAACAGCATCGTCTGCACCAACCACTTCACTGCCATGAAGGGCAAAAGCCACCACGCCCATGTCAATGTCAGCTGGTGCTTTGTGTGCTCCAAAGGTAAACAGCTGGGGAGGGAGCTCCTTCTGAAGTGTGGAGTCAAAGCGTTTTGTTCTTCAGCTCAAGTGTTGTTGTTCTAATCTTGGTTCTAATTGTTCATAGCAAATCGTTAGAAATGTGGCATATTTAGTTAGGCTTTCTTAGCTTATGCTAGAATGTGAAGTTGGCTGCTTCAGGGTTTTAAATATCCTTTTTTTTCAGAAATAATTTATTAAAGAATGTTTTTACTTGGGCTTTATCCAACAACCAGAAGTCCGGTTAATTCTTTACAAGAGACACTTAATGAGTATTTTTCTGTTCTTTCCCCTCTGTTCAATGTACTAAAGCTTTTTGTGTTTCTTTATTGCTAATATGTAATATTACACCATAAATATTTTAAGAGTTGCTTTTAGTTTAGCAGCAGACTGCAAATTGAATCAGTATTAGTTGTTGCCACTAATTAAGGGTGTTTTGTTTTATCTTGTGCAATAAATCTGTTCCTTATTGACAACCACAAAATGCATAGTGCTGATTAAACTTGTAGCAGTGAAACTTTACCTGATTTGTTAACAAATTAACATGCAGCATAGCAGCTTCTAAGCTGCAGCTGACTTTCCATTTGATAATTCGTGGAATAAACTAATAACCTTGTTCCTTCTGCCCCCCAAGGGTGGAAAAAAACCCCAAAATCATAAGAGAATTATGTTGTGGTTACAATTTTTCTTAGCTAGAAATGTTAATATATATTAAAATTACATTAAACATATTGTAGTCATTAAAGTACAGCAAGGTAATTATAATTTGTGCATATTTCTGGCATTTTTATCACCAGCTTGCTTGTTATTTTGCATGTGTTACTAACCTGAGTCTGCCAGGCATTCAGATTAGTCAGGATCTTTTGGCTGCTGTACCCAGCTAAGTGAGGTGTGTATTTGTTATGGAGGGTCAGCATGTTTTAACCATTTATTTTCTAATTGAACCTACCACATGTGTGTCATTTCTAAGCTGTCTGGAAAGCAAAACTTACACTTTGATCTTGATGTTTTCCAACCTTTTTTCGTGTTTCTGTGTCTGTGCAGGTGGCAGTTTGCTGTGCTGTGAGTCCTGCCCAGCAGCCTTTCATCCTGACTGCTTAAACATCGAAATGCCAGATGGGAGCTGGTACTGCAATGACTGCAGGGCGGGCAAGAAGCTCCATTTCCAGGATATTATTTGGGTTAAACTGGGAAATTACAGGTCTGATGAAGGAATTTGTTGTTTTACAGTACTGGCATGTTTAACTAAGGATCATACAACTGGTTGCTCCTGTAGGCCAGCCTTGCTGCACACTCATTTCTGACTCCTCTCTGAACTAGGGACCTCACCTCCTTGCAAGCTTCAGGTTCAAAGAGTTGCAGCTTTGCTGTTGCTCCTGGCCAAGGCATTACCCATACAGAACTCCTCAAGTCTTCTGACTTCTGCCTGCAGTGTAGGAGCCTTCAACCCCTGTTTGTGTCAGAAATCTCTGCCAATAAATTGGTGTAACTGGAAATTGGCTAAATTACACCCTCACGGGCTGGGACATCAGTCACTCGGGTTGTTGGCATTCCACACTTGGATATGAGATCTGAGTGAGACAGAGGTGGCTGGGGGTTACCCTTGAAACATTAATAGGTGTTATCAACCTTCTCTTGATCTTTGACAATTACAGAAATTGCAGGTCTTGTAAAGATGATGGTTTTGCTACTCACACAGGGAGTCCTGTGTGTGTGCTTGCCTTGCAGGCAGGTGAAGTCCCACAGATCTCAGTGTCAGGCTTTCCTTTTCTAGTCTTCTCTCACTCCCTACTAAGAGAGGGGGAAAAAAGAATTTTAAATCCTCTTGGATCTTGGAAATAATAATCAGTTACTGCTGTTTCGGGTGATTTTGTTAAACTGTCTCTTGCAGAAAGAGCTTGACTAAAATGCTGTATTTTTTTATTTGTACTTCTGTGCTAGATGGTGGCCTGCAGAAGTTTGCCATCCGAAAAACGTTCCCCCAAATATCCAGAAAATGAAGCATGAAATCGGAGAATTTCCTGTGTTTTTCTTTGGTTCTAAGGATTACTATTGGACGCACCAAGCACGGGTGTTCCCTTACATGGAGGGAGACAGAGGGAGTAGATACCAAGGGATCAAAGGAATTGGAAAAGTCTTCAAAAATGGTACACAGCTAAAAGTAAACAAAAATAATCCTGGGATACGCATGCTTTGCTTTCTTCACACATAGCCTTGGTTTTGAAATTTTGTTTTACAATGTTTAATTAAAGAAATTTGTGCTGTCCTGGGCAACAGTCACTGTCTTTGCATGAAAACATTATTTTAATGTCTTGTAAAAGACTGGCATCTAACTGAAATTTTATCTGATGATTTTTACTTTCTGGAAAGCTAAAAAAAAGACTAAGAGTGTAGACTCTTTCAGACTGGGAGACTGAAAGAGTAGAATTAATACATCTGTTAAGAACAGTAACACTCCAGAAGCATTGTTTGCACTCCAGAAGCATTGTTTGCAAGAAATCAAATGATGGGACTAAGAAGTAGACAGTGCTTTGTTTTAACACAGGTGGGAATGAGCAAGTGAGTTTGGGGGAGAGTAATCCTCTTTCTGGCATTTCTGTTGATGCTGCAATCTTTTCCAGCTTTGCAAGAAGCTGAAACTCGATTTCGAGAAATAAAACTACAGCGAGAAGCCAAAGAAACCCAGGAGAGTGAACGTAAACCTCCACCATACAAACATATTAAGGTAAAGTTTGAGGAAATGGGTACTCAAAGGTTTGAGCAGTGAGACAAGGTCAGGTTGTAATGATGATAACTGTCCTCTTACAGTCGTGAGATGGTGAAATTTTGCTTTCGTTGGAGTGGTGAAAAACCAAATTAGCAACCACTGTGTAACTCTTGCAATAAAACTAACTGTTCTAAAGTCACATTTCCTCTATTTTAATGTATTTTCCAGGTGAACAAACCTTGTGGTAAAGTGCAGATCTACACTGCTGACATATCTGAGATTCCCAAGTGCAACTGCAAGCCCACAGACGAGAACCCGTGTGGCTTTGACTCGGAGTGCCTGAACCGGATGCTGATGTACGAGTGCCACCCCCAGGTGTGCCCGGCGGGCGAGCGCTGCCAGAACCAGTGCTTCACCAAGCGCCAGTACCCCGAGACAAAGATCATCAAAACTGATGGCAAAGGCTGGGGGCTGGTGGCCAAGAGGGACATCAAAAAGGTAGGAATTGTTCTTACCCTGCAGGGTGGCTGAGCTGCCGTGCTGTTGGTGGGTTTGGGATATACTTCACTAGTGATCCTTGGTGTCTTTCAGGGGGAGTTTGTCAATGAGTATGTGGGAGAGCTGATTGATGAAGAGGAGTGTATGGCAAGAATCAAATATGCACATGAAAATGACATCACCCACTTCTATATGCTTACTATTGATAAGGTAGGGTATTTGATGGTTTTTGCCATTATTTACTTACAGACTTATTTTGACCACCTTGGCAGGGCACTCTGCTACCTTTGATGTTCTACACTTTCACATACTCAGAGCATTGCATCTTCTGTGCCTGCTCTCTCCATTCTATATGTACATAATGAATCTTCTTAGTTCTGTGTTATGTGATAAATTACATATTAAGGTCTGTAGGTTGTGCTTTGTTGCTTGAAATGAAGTACAGTACTTACATGTACCTGTAAGTAGAAAGTACTTACCTGCCTAGCCTTAAAATGAAGTTTGGGGAAATAGTATTGATCCAGTGGAAGGAATTGCAATCCTTTTACTAAAATTTCAACAACAGACAATAAAATTCTCACTTGAGAAAATGTGGAATAAAATTGTGAGGCTGTGTCCTATATAGGGCATTTAATCTTTTTTGTAGCCATCTGTCCCTTGCATTGTTTATGGCAAAACCAGGCTTGTGCTTTTGTAGAAACTCTTTTCTGAAAGCACTCTCTGTTAGTAGCCAGCCAACCCTCCACAAATTGATTCACAGCAAATTATTGCAGCAGATTAATTAACAGAGCAGAATAATTCAGCACCTGTGCCTCTGTGCACACCTCTGAGTATTTTCTTCCTTGGGAGAAGGAGAAAGTGAAGAACCTGGACAGCAGGAGTTATAGATTATCTGTATTATATTGCTTCAGTCCCCAGACAGATAGTTAGGAGAAAAACAAGAGCTGGCTGCCAGTCCTGCAATTTTTTCAGTCCCAACCACCATTCTTTTTCCCAAGGCTCTTGCTCTGTATTTCCACAGCTACTGTTTCCATGAATCCTGTAACTGAGGAGCTCTGCACAGGAGTTACCACCACAGCATGGTGACACCACATTTCTCTGAACACTTAAAGTTTCTCACTTCTCTACTAGATTGACAATACAACATCAGTGTGTTAAACATCTGAACTGAACATGTGTTTGACTCCTGCTGTCATTAACAAATGCTCGTTGTGGGTCTGCCTGAACTGCCAGTGCCATTATGAGGCTGAGCTGTCCATGCAGTGAAGTGTGTGCACAGGGGCATGACATTATAATGTGCATTATAAAAATCAGCTAGAAGGAAACTATAATAATACTTCATAAGTAAGCAAAGCCTTCTAAAGCAGCTCTGCAAAGAAACAGTTCTGACAATTTCAAGCTTTATTTTATTTTGTTAATGTCTCGTATATTTCGTGGAGATAGAAATTTAAGAGCAATTGTTTGTAGGAATGGGATGGTTTTAGCTTACCAAGAGCTTGTTTGCATTTAAACTAGGCTGATTTGGGGAAGGAAATCTTGTGAGAAACTGGTAATCTCTGGAAGTAGTCATGTATTTTGTAAATGCCATAAAGTACCATACTTGCAAATGCCTCACAGCTCCATGAATGCCAAGTAAAAGGACTGAGTCTGAGTTTTGAAGCTTCCTGGGGAAGAGGGTTCCTTGACATGCCCACCATAATGCTCACAAGAACACTTATCCTGCCCTGTGGCTGTGATGGGTGCTGGGAGAATGTGAGCTAGAACATGAGTATTGCTTTGGGAGTGTCCCATTCCAGACCCTGTGGGACACTACAGTTATCAATACAACATGTACCAGCAGCTGGCCTGTGTGCTCTGGGTAGCAACACCATGTCAGCTCTGAATGCAGCTATTGAAATCACTTGTGGATGATTTTTATGGTTTTTTGTGAGGGGGAGAGGAAAACCCTTCAGTTTGTTGCTGGTTTGTTCTCCAGGACCGAATTATTGATGCTGGCCCCAAAGGAAACTACTCCAGGTTCATGAACCACAGCTGCCAACCAAACTGTGAGACCCTGAAGTGGACAGTGAATGGGGACACTCGTGTGGGGCTCTTTGCTGTGTGTGACATTCCTGCAGGTACCTCAGCTCAGCTGCCTTTGCTTTCATCCTCTCACTTAAACCTTTTGTGCATTTGTTGGTGGGACAGTCATGGTTTAACTGATCCAGTGCAAATATTTTTGTAGAGGACTCAGCACACAAGAGGAGATGCTTTGTGATCTTTGTGATCACTAAAAATCTTTTTGATTTTTACTGTTTTTTAACTGTGAGTCCCATGGCTGCTCTTTGTTCCTTGTATCCTTAGCAACTTTGTGTTTTGGAGCTCTCAAATACATAACAAGAACATAATAAACTTAAGGAGTGGATGTAGGAGGCTGTTCAGAAATATCTGTTTTCTGGTTTGTGTACACACATACCTATCTATCTATAGCTATATCTAGCTGGATAGATGGATGGATATAATATGTGTGAAGGCCAAACACAAACACAGTTTTGTGTAGTCAAACAAATTTATTTTAAAATGTAATTGCATAAGATATCACGATATATGGGCATCTAGTTAATCATTGTCAGTGCTTATAAGCAGTAAAGAGAGGGAACATCCTATGATAATACATCAGCAAACAAGTCCAGACCAGCAGACAGATAGCAGCAGCTGTATTTGTTTGCAGTAATTTTGATAAAATTTGTTACCTTGTCCTTTTTACACTCAGGGACGGAGCTGACTTTTAATTACAACCTTGACTGTCTGGGCAATGAAAAAACAGTCTGCAAATGTGGTGCCCCAAACTGCAGTGGATTTCTTGGGGACAGACCAAAGGCAAGTAATATATCAAGTAATACATCAAGAGATTTTGACAGTCTTGTCAGGGGAAGGGTTGTAGAAGCTTCAGACTGACTAAGAATGTGCCTACTGTGGCCAGTGAGATTATTCTGACATTCTAGTTTATATTTCCTCATTTAAACCTTACAGTATGATTATTTTGCTAAGATTCAATTTAAAAACTTCATTTGAACTGAACAATAAAAAATGTGAGTTTTGAATGTGGAAAAAAAATTACCAAAGTATATCAAGAAATGATCTGTATGAATCCTGTCCAGGTTAGTTTGAAACCTGTAATCCAGCAGAACTTGATGGAGCTTCCTGAAGGGCTGGCATAGGAATGTGGGGGAGGGCACAAGTACCACCTGTGGATGTTGAAAAGCTGCATTTCCTCTGGTCCTTCACACTGCTCAGGACCAGCCACTTCAGAGGGTGGACTGGGAATCTTCAGAACCCACACAGCTGCTTTTTGTTAAGAGATGGACTTCAATGAGTTTTCATATAAGCCTGTGAACATTTACACAGACAACCATGAAGAAATTCAGTGTCACAGTTGAGTTTTATGGGTCTGTCTTCATTGGTAGATAGAATGGGCTAATTTAAAAGAAAGTAGATAGTAATTACTGGGGTGAGAGGGAGGGAATGATGGTAGAGATGTTGAAAAATCATCCAACATTTTATATGATTTGGTGAAGGAGAGTTAAACTGCAAGCAGCACTTGAAAGCTGTTTCTGTGCATGCAGCACAGAATTGAAGTCAGATTGAAATAGGGATAAGGTTTGGTACATTCTTTCTGTCATTAACTACATTTCCTGAAGTTCTGCTGTCTGTTCCTTAAAGAAAAATGGGGGCAGGTTTTAGTAATTCCAGCATGAGTATTCACAACTGGAAGGGAAAAATGGATATTGAAGCAATTGATGGTGCAAGTACATAATGAGGGTAAATTAGCCACAAGTAGATTAGACTGGAAATTGGAAGACCTTTTGTCAGTGACAAGAAAAGGAAGGGTTTTTTGCAGTAGGAGGGTCCTGTAGGGAGAAGATCTGGTTTCAGGATGACTTTTCTCAAGGGTCAGTGTAGGTTTTTTGTCAGCACAGATCAGTAGAGTGAAGCACTGGGCAGGTCTGCCCCAAGTCAGGTTCTTGGCTGTGTGCACAGTCTGCCAGGTGTGCCCAGAGCTTGGCAGGGTTGTGTAACGTTTTTCCTTTGCAAAACTGGCATTTACAGATTTATATCCTACTCTTTTAGAATTCTTCCACTAATGCCTCAGAAGAAAAAGGCAAAAAGACCAAAAAGAGAACACGGAGACGCAGAACGAAAAATGAAGGGAAGAAAGAATCTGAAGATGATTGTTTCCGTTGTGGTGATGGAGGCCAGCTGGTGCTGTGTGACAGGAAATCTTGTACTAAAGCTTATCATCTCTCCTGCCTTGGTTTGGTGAAACGTCCTTTTGGTGAGTCTTACACTGGAATAAATAACTTGTGCAGGTACCTCAGTTATTGCACTGAAACCTTGTCAGGGCTGTCATCCTGAAAACAGTGGGTTTGTATGGCAGGAATTTCACTTGTGCGTCATGTGGAGCAGCTCCTCTTGGATTTGAAGACAAAATGGTGGCCTCCTCCTGCCTCTCTGGCAAATGAGGCATTTCTTTTACAGATGTAGGTAATTGAGCACATCACCTGGTAGGAGCACCATGGCCCTGCCACAGGACAGTTGATTATATCTAAGAAATGCATGAAGCCCTTTGAGTTCAAGCCAGAAGAGCAACAGCAGCTTCTGAAAGAAGGCAAGTAGGGAAATTAAGAGCAGCAGACAGCAGGCTGCAGTTCCAGATATCACAGGAGGTACCTGGTTCCAGTCAGCCATGGCAGGTGAGATGTGAGGAAGGGAAGCAGGCAAAGCCTGTTATCCCAGAAACAAGTAAAACAAGGACTGGTAAGGTATTTGCTGGGGCAAAAGAGCAGCTGTAAGTGAAGCACGCCAGCCATTCCTGAGCAGGACTGGCAACAGACGGGACTGCAGTGAGACTGGATGTTTGGATGCTCTGCCAGCCTGTGAGTTCTGTAAAATGCTATTGAGTGAAGCCTGAGTCATTTCTTCTAGCTGGAGCTGACTGCTGTGTTTGAATGAGAGTGTGTCAAGTCTGCTCCTTGCAGCTGCCAGCTGAGCTTTAGAAGTATGATGTGGCATTCTGGGTGTTGAGATCAGCCCTGGTAGCTGCTGTCATTTGCTTTGTCAGGAAAGCTGTGCCTTGTTCAGCTGCTCAACACAAAACCCCTTGAGGAGATGAGGCTGTGTTTTACTCCCCATTAATGGGCTCTTTGGTTTTGATTGCAGGGAAGTGGGAGTGTCCTTGGCACCACTGTGATGTTTGTGGCAAACCTTCTGTTTCTTTCTGCCACTTCTGCCCAAACTCTTTCTGCAAGGAGCACCAAGACAGGACAGTGCTAAATTCCACCTTGAATGGACAGTTATGCTGCTCTGAACACGTTCTTGGGGTGGATTCTGTGGAAACTCAGAAGACTGAGAAACCCCGCAAAAAACTGAACAAGTTCAAGCCCAGGAGAAAGAGGAACAGATGGATGAGAGCTGAATGCAAATAGTCATGGACTGCAGTTTCTACTGCTAACACTATCTTGTAGATAAGTTGTGAATATGACCAGGGAAGGACACAATTTTACATATATTCTGTAAAGGTTACAATGGGGTTGGGGGGGGATTTTTTTGTTTTGTTTTTTTTTATAAATCCACTGAGCCAACCACAGCAGTCTTCTGCTGCTTCTGCACTGATAACGAACTGCATAGTTCAGCAAACTTCAGGACAAACCAAACTTATTACTCAGCATTACAGTTACACTTGAATTGTTACGAATGTAAAATGTTCCCTCCAAAATACTTTGCAGGTTGGAGGTAGGTTAAAATCAAACCAGGTAGGCGTAAACATAGTTTTTTGAGATAGTATTTGTCAACCAACAGATGTTTAAAATAGTATATCCTTGAAAGAAGTTGTTAGTTCTCAAGTCCTTTTGAGTAAGAAATGGCTTGGTCTGTGGTCCCAATGAGATTTGCTTGCCTTGTGTGTTTCTGAGCAGGTGCTTGAATGCCAGGTGTGTCCCTCACTACAGCCACACTACAGCAATTGGTTTGTGCTCTCCAAAAATTATTCTTAGCAATCATGACCATAAATATCCTTCCACCAAGAAATGTGGTGCGTGGTGGGAAAGGCACGCCCTGTACCAGAGAGGAGGAATCTGACTTTGTGAGAGATTTTTTTCTATACTGTTTTTTCCTGTATTTCATCCCAGCAAAAGATGAAGTTACTTGATCTTGCAGAGCTCTGCAGGTCTGGACTTAAATGGATATTGTCTTGCAATCTAGGCCCAGGACTTAAAAGGATATTGTCTTGCAATCTAGGCCCAATACTTCAGGAGTTTTGTGTCTTAATAAAAAGAAACCTTTCAAAAGCTATTACTTGGAAAAAATTACTTGCTTGTTTGGGTTTTTTTTCTCAATGGCAGGTTAAATGCAGAGGCAAACTTTTCTTTGGAATGCTTGGAGTCCAAGCATTTCAACTTTGTGATAATGCAAGAAATGCCCAAAAAGGAGCAAAACTACCCCCATGAATGAAACAGAAAGCGAAACTTGACTAAAGTGTAAAAACTAAATTCAAAACAAGTAAAAGTTAAATAGATTTTTGAAGCAGCATGTAAGAATTTTGATGTGAAATTTAGCCTTACTCTGTTCCTTTGCAGAAACTGGCTATTTGACAGACTGAATTTTTTTGTTCCATTTCTAGGAGCTCTGCTCTTGACTAACCTGTCACCACTGGGTTGTGTCAGCAAAGCTGTTTTGAATTCCTCACCCCCATTAGCATGGGTGACTCACAGTGAGGTGAACATACAACACTTACTATTGACAGAAATAATGCTGGAACTAGGAAAAAACAGTAAAGAGAAACATCTGTGCCAGTTTTCCTCCCAGTGCACATCCTTGCTGTGTGATCAGGCAGCATCCCAAGCACATTTTGATTTTTGCCATTGTGACCCACCCTCCATAAGCACCTCCATGTCCACTGAGCCATTTGTGTATGTTCTAGCTTAGTTTGCCCTTCATAGTGCAGGAACTCTGTGTAGCCCTTTTGAAAATGAAGCCTTGCTGTATCATGGAAGTGTATGGTTTTTTCCCAAGGTATTTCTTCAGGATTTGATTTAGTTCTTGGAATTGCCAAAACCCCCATTTATTCCCAACATGTAAAAAGTCTGGTTTTATTAGAAGATACTAATTGAAAGAGGTTATAAATGTTGCATTGCCCTATGCTGAACACTTTGGTTTCTGTTTTGTGACCAAAATGCTTTGTTTTTTGAATTAGTTTTTATAAACACTGTTGGAAGGTTAATTTTTTTTTAATAATTTTGAAGAAATAGCAGAGTTCAAAATCAGGGGAAGTGTTACATGTTTGCATATTTTGAAATGGTATGCCAAGCCTTGCACTCAAAATTCAAGATTCTTTAATTGATTTTGAGGGAAACTTTTTCTCTGCCATGGGGCTGAAGAACAGTCCTGTGCATAAAATTAAAACCAAAAAAAAAAAGTTATTATGGATGTTTCTTTAATATTGGGTTTCAAGGGAAGGAAAATGAGGTCAGGTAGTAAAGCAGAAATATTTTCCTCATTGCTTTAAAACAAAATGAAGGAATTTGATGTCATTGGGACAACTCTTTGAATACTATACCATGTAAGGAAGGCTTTGTAAGAATACCTTTAAATAAGTTATTATAAAATTTTTCCTTTACATTCCATTGCTTTCATAATTTGTTAATTTTTTTTTTTAGTTGTTTTGTTGCTTTTTCCTCTCCATGTGTAACAGCTCTGTCACTGTGGAACTGTGATGCCCCAGGTCCCAGGAGGCACAGCCTGCAGTGCCAGCAGCCCTGGGCTCTCAGGGGGCTCCCCAGCCCATCCAGCAGAGCAGGATGCAGGACAGACACCCCTTCTGTCTGTCTGTCTGTCTGTCTGTGGGGACAGAGGGACTGTTCCACAAACAGATCTGAGCCAGGGGCTGTTTGTCCTTCTGCTGCTTCTACCTCTCCCCGCTCTGCTCGGGGCCCTGGGCTGGGGCTGCAGACCTGGAGGGCGCTCTGGGAATTCCTTCCTGGGCAGGAATGTGGATCAAATTCTCTCTCCTTGATGCCCACTGGCCATGGGACCCCCTGAGCTCAGCTCAGGCACTCAGGTGGGATCTGGCAGAGTTTTGGTTTCTGTACCAGGACAGGTGGGGTTTAGGTGCAGTGTAATGAAGGCTTCTGTACCTTTGCTCTGCAGCCTGGGAAAACAGGCTGAAGTTATGTTTAAGAAAGAAGACAGAAGAAAAGTTGTGACATTGTTTTCCTTCTCCCACTGTTCAAATCCAAGGTAAAACAATCCTTAAGACTTGAGCTTTCTCATGATGCAACTCAGTACTTTTTAGCATTCAGCAACTTGAAGGATTTTCTGCTATAAATTAATCTAAACAACATTAACTTTGGCATATTATGTGGCCTTAAATGATGTTCTTTGTGTCTTGCCCATCAAAGTAGCAAAATGTCTTTCCTTTTTTAGCAAAAGCTGATACATGACAGCCAATTTCAGAATTTGTTGTTCTTTTATCACATGAGCAAGCATGGAAACAATTTTCAGTTGAGTATGTTAGATGTATTTTCATACAACCTAGGAAAAGTAATCAGAGTAAATGTCTGTTTTGTTCAATAGCTTTGTGTTCATGGTCAGGTTTTAGGAGGTTTTTTATTTGAATTACTTGGAAAAGCAAAATATCTTGAAAGACGTATTAATGGGATTTTTCCACATTGTTGAGTCTCATTATTCCATGTCTGACTGCTTGAGAAACTTCAATGTCTTATTAAATGTTGAATTTTATTCCTAGTTATTTAAGAAGTTGCTAAGTCTCTTTTGTAAAACAGCTCTATATGCTTACTTTGGGACCTTTTTTTTTTTTTCTTGAAAGAAAAAAGTGGAATTGATACATACTGAGCAAGCATGGTTTGGCAGTGAGGGAACAGGGCTTTGTTCTCTCATAGGGAAAACTTGCACTTCAGGCCTTCCTAAGAGATGCCCTGGGAATGCTGTTTTATGCTTCCACAGAGGTGATAATGATTGTGCTGTGGCTGTTTTCACATTCTTGCTTGTCACAGGACTGCTGACATTTCTTCCAGTCCAGTTTTTCCAGTGCTGCTCTCTGTTGCTGATAATTTTACAGGCTTTTGTGCCACTTAGCTGGGGCTACCCAGCCCAGCCAGCTCTGCTCCCTCAGGGTCCTTTTGCTGTCACAAATGCTGGTCCTGCTTGCTCAGGTCTGAGTTTGACTCTTTGGCTTTTTCAGACAGGTTATTTTGGGTCTGGTTTGGCTTCACCTGTGGAGTCTCCCACGTGTGACAGCAGCTACAATTTTTTAAAAAGCATTTCAGAGATCTGCTTTGGTGCTGGTGGCTGATGGTTCTGCTGAGGTCACCTGGTGCTGTGCATCAGGATTGTGTCCCTGTGCTGCTCTGGGGGAAAGCACAGCCTTGGCCAGGGGGAAGCTTCTTGTCTCTCCTACATCAGCAGTGGGAGAGGCTGCATGGAGCTCTGCTGGGCACTGGGGAGGGCTGTAGGAACCACCCCTCTTGCTGCTGATCCAGAGCAGAATCACAGAATGGTGTGGGGTGGAAGGGACCTTAAAGACCTTCCCCTGGACCAGGCTGCTCCATCCCCATCCAACCTGGCCTTGAAAACTGCCAGGGATGAGCAGCCACAGCTCCTCTGGACACCCACAATGGCTGATGTCCCACTCTTGCACCCAGTTCCTCACCTGATGGAGATCAGAGAACTGATATATTCCATAAATTCTTTTAAACACTTTTAACACCTTCCCTGGGGAGAGGAGAATGAGCAGCTGAGGGCAGGAACACTCAACCCCCCACAGCTGGGTTCCTTCAGCCATCTCTGCTGCTCTAAGATTCAGAGAGAAGTAACACCTGCCACCACCTCTGTGCAGAGCCATTTAAAATCGTGGATCTTCAGACAGAGATACTGTTTTTACTGGCCATGGAGAGCTGCTGAAGCACAGCACTGGCACAGAGGATCACAGGTGGCTGGGCTGGGCTCACACAGTGGGAATGTCACTGCAGCAGGAAAAGGAAAACAAGGTGGGAAGGTTAAGAGGCCACAGGTACTGGTTTCATGGAGCAGCTGACACTGGCTCCAGTACAGGTGATGTTGAATTTTTTCTGGGCATTTCTGACTGCCTGGGATGCTGGCTAAGAGAAAAACATAACAGGGGACACAGAGCAAACAACAAGAGACAACCAGCCACACACAGGAATCATCTCTGGCAAATACAAATCACATTAGTTTAACCAGATGGTTACACTGGGCTGGGTGCACAGAGGAGGGCTTGGGGTGCCACAGCAAACAGGTACAAACCACTCTGCTGCTCTCCTGGGTGGGGGATGCAGTGCCAGGAGCAGGGACAGAACTTTGCCCAGGCATTTGGGCAGGGGTCCCCTACAGCCCCTCTCCTCAGCATGCAGAAAGGGGCAGGGCATTCTCTGTGCCTGCACCACGCTGCTCCTTTGTAGCTCCACCCTGAGCACCACCTGGCAGCAGGAAACAAAGGGGACTTTTGTCCAGGAATCAACCATTTCTTTAGTGGCATGTTTGTACACAGCTTAAAGGAAGGGGAGAGCTTTAGGATCCCTTCCCTTGACTTTTGCTTATACTAAAATTTTTATTTTGTTCCCCATTTTGAGAATGGGGAACAAAATAAAAAATTGCATATTATCAAAAGGAGGTGTACTCATGTTAGTTTGTGCTTGGGTGGAAACGAGTGTTGTATCAAAGGGACCTCAATAACTGGAGCAATAACCTCAATAGAGCAGCACTCTGTTGAGCTGACTTAAAATGGAGAAACAGATAGGATTGATTGCTTTTGGGGGCTTTTTCCCCCCTGATGAAAAGAGAAAAGTATTTATGAAGGAAAGTATTTGTGAAGGAAGCTGGGAATTGGAAAGGGAAGACTTTTCCCACCAGCCCAGTGCAGCAGAGCAGGGAGCTGAGTTGGTTTGCACAAGGAGCCACAACTCAAAAACTGAGTTTTATTCCCCAGCACTGACTTAAGCTGTACAGAAGTAGGTTGCTCGTGGTTGAACACCTTGCCCAGAGGGGGAAGCAGAGGCTGCTGGCCCTGGCAGAGCTACCAGCCAGCATAGACGGGCTCCGTGTGCTCCGTGTGCTCCGTGCCCCCGTAGGAGCCGGGCCCCGAGCCCCGCGGCAGCAGCGGCGACTTCAGGGAGCTCCTGCCCTGCTCCCATCGCCTCCTCAGGATTATCAGAAACACAACGAGGATTCCACCTGGAAAGAAAGGAAGGAATGGTAGTTACTCACAGATGGGAAGGTAAAGTGTCAGGTGATGTTTGCTCCAAGGGTTCTCAGCTCAGGTATTCTCTTCTGGTAAAATAAGGAGTTTTTTTTCCTCCTACATACTCTGTCCCTCTCCAAAAAGAGGGGGAAAAAAAGGTTCCACTAGCACTGATAACAGCTTCAGCAGTTCAGCTTAGCTCTGCAAGGAATAATGACAAGTTTTATGAAATAATTCAGTAACTTGCTTTCCTACTCCCATTTACTCTCTGGAACTGTTTTCCACTTGGCATCTTATTCACTGCAAACCCCACCAAAAGGATCTTGTTGAGAAATTCATTTGCTCTGTGCAGCACTCACACTGAAGCACAAGAAGTAACTAACCTAGATTAACTCTGAGTCTAGACTGAGATCAGGGCTGTCAGGAAAAATTACTTTTGGATTGGGCATAGACATGGAAGTAATTGGCAAATCTCAAGTGGTGCAACATTCTGTTCATTTGTTTCTGGCAGAAGCATCATCCGAGAAAACTGATCTGAACAGAAGAGCACAAATCTGTCTGTGTGATGCAATATGGCCAGACAAATACACCCAAATTTCAGTTGTGTGAGCAGACAGCCTCATGGTAAACACTTGATCTGTGAGACCAGCCGTGAAAAACTCGCGGGTTCCTGCGTGGGCTCCTTCCTTCCCCCTCTCTGCTGCAAGCTCTGGGAGAGGCAGGAATGCTGTTCCCTGACCCTCAGACTTGTTTATCACAAATGCTGCTTAATGGGCCATTGTCCCTCTCTGGGCAGTCTTTTCATATCCTCCAGTTCAATCTACTTTTTCAAATTACCACTCGCTTCAGATGGCATCTGCTTTGGCAGATTTTTGGACAACAGCCTGGCATGAGTGGAGAGGGGTCAGTGGAGGACCTTTCTCATGGCTGCAAGCCACAGCTTGTGAGAACAGCCCTCATCTGCTCCCCCCAGCACTCCAGCCCCATGGGGACAGCACCCAGAGGGTGCTGCTGGAGCTCCTGCAGACCCTGCTGTCCTTGTCCCCTCCTCACTGCAAGAGACAAATGTGATGGGAACACACATCTTGTTGGAGAAGCAGCTTTGCAGTGTGTCTTGTAACACATGCATTTAACCTCTCCCCTCTCCTTTTAACAACAGCCAGCCAAGTGGAGTCTTCAGGAAGCACATGAAAGTCTTCATGGGTCTTCAGGAAGCACATAAAATACACTTGAAACACAGAAACTGTGAATGTGAGGCTTGTTGGATATTCTTTATCCTCTGATGCCTTACTCATCTCTATGACTTGGCTCTCTTGACACAAGATTCTCATCTCTGGTAGTGTAAGTGGGACTTAGGGATTTCTCTTCATCTCTCTGGGCACAGGAGACAGATTTCTCCTCCCAGCTTCCTCATCTGCCCTTCTTGCAATCCACACCACTAATAGCTGCTCATTTTCATCATAACTCTCTGATTAAACCTCCCCCCAACTTTGATTAAAAACGAGATAACTCCATTTTTCCCTTTCCTAAGACTAAAAATGCATATTCATTGTTTTGGAATGATTATTCATGGTGCAGATTCCCATTTAAAAAGCTCACCCACTCATTAGCTTGCCCCAGTGAGCTGATTCACAGCAGGTGGCATCTGGAGGGATGCTCCCCACACTCAGCAGCTCCTGACTCTTGGATACAAGGAACATTTGGCATCAGTGCAACAGCACTGTATGAGCCAGCAGCTCCCCATCCTGCTGAATGCTGTGGCATGACTTAAGGCAGGAATGCTTTCAGGAAACACACCAAAAGGAATTTGTCCTTTTTCTTTCTTTGGTGCAGCCAAGGAATCCCTGTTTGAGGGTCCAGACACATCCCTGCTTCCCAGGGACAAACAACAAGCATTCAGCATTGTGCCACCTTCCTTCAGAGCCAGGGGCAGCACTGCCACTTGTGCCACCTTCCTTCAGAGCCAGGGACATGACTGGCACTTGTGCCACCTTCCTTCAGAGCCAGGGATGGGATTGGCACTTGTGCCACCTTCCTTCAGAGCCAGGGATGGGACTGGCACTGAGAGCAGCCAGAAGGACTTTCATTAAAATCCAGACACACAGAGCACACCACCCAGAGAGTGCCTGGTTTAACACAGCTGCAGAGGGGACCCAGACTGACCTGCTGAGAAGGTGGCCAGGACAATGACCGTGGCAGGGGTCAGCTGGCAGGAGTCCCCTGCCTTGTACAGGAACAGCTCCATGCAGTAGGTGGGCTCCACGCTGCCCCGGGGGCAGAAGGCATCAGGGGGGCACTTCACTGGCTTCACATCTGGGCTCTGCCCAAGAGAAGAAGTAAATCAGCACCAGCAAACTGCAGAAGGTGACCAGGGCAAAGGGAGGTGACATTTTAGCATTGGAGGGAGGAAAAAGATAAATGAAGGAATGACCCTGCCATCATTAAATCCAGCCCTGTCTGCCCCTGCAGTGCTGGAGTGTGGGGAGGAGCAGAAGGTGTTGTTACACATCAAGTCTGTACCTCAAACCCCTCGTTAATGCACACAGCATCCCCTCATACCCCAGTCAGAGCAGGCAGCTCCAGGCACACTCCTGGAGTCATTTTAATCATCTCCCTGCCTCAGAGCCCTGTCTATGTTTAAGAGAAAGGAAGCTCAGATTACAAGAAAAAAGGCAGTGTTAATTGAAGGGTATTTAGCTAGTGTGGGACAGCTCTGGCCAGCACAGGCTGTCCCAGCTGCTCACAGGGGACTCACAGGGCAGTAGTGATTTTCTGGGCACAGCTCACAGCTCTCCTTGCCCCGCTGCAGTTGGTACTCTCCTGTCCTGCAGGCCTTGCATCTGTTGTCACTGGCACCTTTGAATGTGCCTGAACAGCAAATAAGCACAATATTAAGATTTGAGACTAACCCCCAGGACCTTTGCAATTGCATATGGATGAATCAGCTTTAAAGCCACGGGGAGAAGGAGCATTAAGTGCTCGTGTGCATAACAAAAGCTGAGCCTGGACTTTGGTCCTGGTTTGGTGGCAAAAAATCAGAGCAGAACAAACAGGGACAGAGGGACTAAAGAATATTTGGGGTCAGACCTTGGCAAACAAAGCAGTGTGAGCAGGAGTACGTAGGAGAAGGGTTTAGCAGTGAGTTCTGGCTTTAATGTAGGGGAAGATGGGAGCTGGAGGTCAGCACTGTTCCATCCTCTCCAATTCTGGATTCAAACACCTTTTCCAGCTGTTTGAAACTTGCTGAGCAGACTTCAAAGCACAGCTCAGTTTCCCAAGCTTTGTGGGAGAGACAGGTCACAGAAGTTCCAAGTCTCACAGTGGTAAAATGCTTTCCTGCAATGTTTAAAATGCGGCTGGGCTGTGAGACACCCCCGGGGCTGTGTCCAGGGAGGCTGGTCCCTGCCATGGGGGTGGCTGAGTGCCCTGCCCAGCCCTGCCAGCCCAGATGAGGCAGCCTGGGGTGTTTCAGACAGCACGGGAGGGAGCTTGGCCATTCCCTCACATCCCCTCCCCGTGTCCCTTTGCCCCAGGCTGCCCCTGCAGAAAATCCATCTCTGACAGCAAGGCTGGGCTTTCCTCAGCAAGGCCACCACCACCACGGGCAGAGATGCCCTTTGCTGGAGCTGGTACCACCTGTGGATTTGGGCTCCCTGGCGTGCCAGGGACCAGCTCAGCCCCAAGGCATTCATGAACCAGCCTGGCACAGCACAGCCTCCACCAGCATCCAGACAAACCCCCTGGCACATCCTTCACGCCAGGACCCAGCTCTGCCCGCAGGGCACATGCAGGGTCAGCTGAGATGGGTCTGGAATGAGCCTGGAGCTGGAGCTGTGTTCCCTTTGGGCACAGCCTCCCCCTTACCTGCTGGGCAGGTCTCACACATCTCCGCTGCCTCCCGAGGCGCCTCCTGTCCCCCAGGGCAGGGCTGGCAGCCGGAGCAGCCGCTGGTGCTGCAGGGAGAGGAGCAGGACAAGCTGTGGGATCAGCACTGCCCAGCCTACCAAAGCCTGCTCTGACAGCCTGGAGGCTCCAGGAACCTTTGCTGTGCTGTGGGTGTCTGTCTGTCTGTCTGCAGTACAGTTTGTCACACAGAACGGTCTAGTTGGAAGGGACCTCAAGTATAGGGGGCTAGAACATAGAATGCAATCTTACCCCCTAAAGAGTTGCAGCTGGGTTAATTATTAAGGATTAGGAGCGGGCCTGATGTTAACAGGCCACACCTGTAGCCAATAAGAAGAGTGTTATAAAAGAGAGGGTTGGTTGGCTGAGGGTAACTGGAGTCAGTGCCTAGAGGAGCTGCCTACAAGAAACATCGAGGAGGTACAAAACTCTGGCAATATGGAACCCTTGCAATGTAAAGACAACAGAACTTTTGTAATACAATGACAACGAATGGTGACCCCGATGTGATTTGAGAGAAATGACCCTGTAGATTTGGGACTAAACTATATAACCCTGTGGATTTAGGATGATCCCATGGATTTAGGGAAAAAGGACTCAACTATACGACCCTGTGGATTCAGGACTAAACTCTGTGACCCCATAGATGCGGGATGACCCCATGAATTCGGGGAAGCAGGATTTGACTATATAGCCCCGTAGATTCGAGGAAAAGGATTTGAATACTAAACTATTAGTAAAATATATCAATTGCAGCTATTAATATTTGTTGAATATGAATATAAAAGATTTTGAAGATAAGTACTTTGTAAACTGAGACAAGCTCTAAAACTGAACCAACACTCAGAAATAGATATATTTCTACAATAATATGTTGTTTGAACATTTGTATAACTCTTAGTTCTAAATGAAATATATGAATATGTCATAATGTTAATTTATTTGAATATGTACTTCTAGAAATGCTGCAACTGTAAATGTAATTAAAAGAAGAAGGAGGAATTGTAGGGGGATACAGTATGGGTGAATGAAGGTGGTATGGAATGTAATCTTACCCCCCTAAAGAGTTGCAGCTGGACCAATTATTAAGGATTAGGAGCAGGCCTGATGTTAACAGGCTACACCTGTAGCCAATAAGAAGAGTGTTATAAAAGAGAGGATTGGTGGGAACTGGAGTCAGTTGGCTGCTGCAAGGACAAGGAAGAGTCAGTGCCTGGAGGAGCTGCCTACAAGAAACATCAAGGAGGTACAAAACTCTGGCAATACGGAACCTTTGCAGTGTACTGACAATAGAACTCTTGCGTTATAATGACAACACTCAAGGATGATCTCACTCCAACCCCCATGCATGGTCAGGGACACTTGGCCAGGTTGCTGGAAGCCCCATCCTACAGCTGAAATGGCAGGTGACTTGCCTTTGGGCACTACATTCCTGGTTCCAGCTCAGCAGGGGCTAAAAGAACCCCCCTCCCTGTCCCTGTGAGCCCCTGGACCCCAGGAGCTCCTTACTTGCAAAATGATCCTGGCTGGCAAGGCAGACAAAAAGCTGCATTTTGCTTGGAGCTAAAATAGCCTGGAAAAGAGAAGGGTAAGGCTTCAGGATGCTGCCTCTACATCTGTGCCCCGCCTCGTTGTCACTGTGCTGATGTCCATTTTACAAACAAGCAAACAACTCCCCACAAGAGGCTTCAGGTGGCATTTCAGGGCATTTGGGGTTATATTTGTCCAAAGCTCTGAGAGAGCAATGGAAGTTCCCTGCTGCCCCCTGCCACATTGAGGATGCATGGAGGGCTCTGGCAGATTCCCCTGATGGATCTCACATCACTCAAAACCACACCAAGGAGACAGAGAAACCTGTCACCCTCCCCAGCACCACAGCCTGAGCTGTAATGGAGCTGGAACAGGTGATTCCAGTGCCAATCCCCAAGTTATTCAGCTGGAGCAGGTCTCTGGCCAGGGGGAGCCTCTCTGGTCACCCCAGCACTTCCAGGCCTGCCCCCAGCCCAGGAAGTCTGGGATGGATCTGCTTCCCTGCAAAAGGAAGGACACAAGACCCACCAGCCAGGATGGCTCTGCTGGTGCAGAGCTTCCCTCCCTGCCCCACGAGGACCAGGATGGGCAGCAGGACAGGTACAGACCCTCCCCAAAGCACAAAAAGGAGTCAAGTGCCCCAAAGTGCCCAGGGGCCAGCAGGACCCAACTTGTGAATCCCACCACACCAACAGGAAAGCTGAGAGAGCAGCACTTGGGAATTCAGGTGGGTTTGGAGGTGCCTGATGATGCACAGCATGGTCACTGCCCAAATGGGACAGAGTCAAGGTTCAGAGGGGAGCTGGACGTGGTGTGGGTTAAGATCTGCCTCAAACCTGGATTTGCACCAAGCAGCAGAAGCTGTGGCACAGCAGGATGAAACCAAACCTACCTCCCCTCTCCCTGCAGGGAAAAGGGAACTTTTCACATTTACACTTGCAGGATTTAGGGGCCAGCCCCACAGACCCCCCTGCAGTCTAACACAGTGTTTAAATCTGCTGAGCAAAGGGAGGGACAGACCCATTGCTGTCACCAGCCAGGTTTTGTTCCTCCCAAACTCAGCGAGTGACAGCCAAGGTTTGGGCACAGCCCAGCAGCTCAGAGGGTGGATTTCCAAGGAACAGTTGTGCATGTTCAAGCAGGACCCATTTTGGGTGCAGAGGAGCTGCTGCACTGCATGTGCTAATTGGGGTTTTGCATAAGCAGGTGCTGTTCTGCACATGCTGTTACCCCCTCTGCAAACACTGCACCAGGCTGCAGTGGCGTTGGCCAGGTGCAAAGCACCGCCTCTTTAAAACCCCAGTTTTAATGTGTGGAAAATAAGGAGGAGAGTATTACACTTAATATTCAGACTGCAGAACATTGCCTAAATGAAAACAAAGATGGTTTTAGACTCAGTTTTGCTATCAGAAATAGAGAATATTTTGTTTCCTAACAATGCTCCCCCCTTGTGCTAAAATTGAATTTCATAAAACTTTTTTCATTGCAGAGTTACCATTAACTTGTTGCAAAAACAAGCATGACTGAGATCTGCTCTTTTCATTTTAATAACAACAGAATAGGGAAGAGATCTGCTGGGCTATTTTTAGCCTGTTTACCCTTCAGTGCTTTTAAGTTACCTGGTAATTGCATCTGCCCCTGGGAAAAAGCATCATGTGATGAAAATGCATTTGGGTTGAACACAGACCAAAGCCTACCTTGCTCACAGGCTCTGCAGGCTGCAGCCCCAGACTCATTAGCAAAATGTCCTGGTGGGCAGGGAAGGCACACAGAGCTCCTTGGGAAGCTGGGAGGGAAGGGAGCAGAGAGGAACACAATTTTCAATCACCCAAGCCTCCATCCACTTGGAGAAGACAGAGCAGAACATGACACTGACTAGTCTAGAAATACAGCAATTATGAAAAAGGAGTCCAGGCAGAAAAACATTGGTTTGAACTCACTTGAATGTTAAAGGTCCACTAAAAACCTGAATTTTTCTGTATTATTAAATTAGAGATGCCCTGTGCCTGTGGGCAATATGGAAAGGGACCATCTGAATTGAAGGTCTTGAAAAATATGCTGTGGTCAGACTTAAAACCCTTGGCTTGAGTCAGACTCTTAAATCCACTCCTGAAAATGGAATAGGGAAGGTGTTTGCTGTTCAGCATCCATCAGGGATTTCAAAAGGAGCTGCTCCTCCCTCATTGCTGGGAATCAGGAGCTGAAAAAAGGACCTAAACCACAGGCAGTGACCTGAGAGAGCCCTGACCTTAAACAGCAGGGACTGTGGGAAAAGGGAGGGAATGAGTGAGGCAAAGGCAGGGAAAAAGGAAGCTTTTACATCCATCACTAACAGAGCCAAATCCCCCTCAATTCCTTATCAAAGGAATTTGATAACATACTCAGAGATGCTTTAGAGGAAAACAAGGACATGCTCTTTAATTCCTTCAGAAACTGCAGGGCTGCATGAGATTTGCAGAAAAAACCAACCAAACAAACAAACAAAAATCACAAAAAAAAACCCACCAAAACCAACCAACCAAAAAAACCCAAAAACCAAAAAGCCAAAACCCCCCAAACCAACTGGAAGCATAGCAAATACTTTGCTGAAAACAAACCAACACAGGGCCTGGGCCAGCCAGAGCCTCTCAAAGCTGCAGGGAGGCCAAATTCTCCCAACAGCACAGAAATGTTAAATGGTCCCCTCGAAGCCCTGAGGCCCAGGCAGGCACCAGGATATGGCCATGCACCCCCTGCACCCCCCAGTCCCTCCAGATCCCCTATTTTGGTCCCTGCTCTGGCACACCCAGCCCAGCAGGGCTGCCTGGCCCTCTCTGGTCCCTCTCCCATGTCCCAAGAGCAGCAGCTCTGAGTGCCCTGGAGTGCTCTGTTCCTGGCTGGTTTTTAAAGCAATTTGGGGGTACATTTTTAAGGCAGGTCCTCACAGCACAAACTGCAAGGGCAGAGCACAGAGGGGAGCACAGAGGAAGGTCCTGCTGGCACCTCAAGCTCAGGGGCTGCTGCAAACAAGCTGCACAGTCAGGTCACCCTTCCCACAGCCCAGGACTGGTGCAAATGGAGCAGCTCTGCAATGGACCCAGCCCTGGGGGCTCTTGCCACCCCTCCTGTCCTTGCCAACCCACAAAGGACACAGCTGACTGCTTGCAGACATGGAGACAGCAAGATAAAATCCAATAGGAGTGGAGAGCAGCACATGCCCATGTGCCCACAGCCAGGGCACACTTGCAGAGATCCCTGGATCAGGCAGCCTGGTGGAATTGCAAGACTGGGCTCCTGTCCTGCCAGCTTTTCCACACTCTGTCAGCTGAGGGGTACTGCTTTAAATGCCAGCAACTCAAATGTAATGAGATGCCTTGGGGGCAAGAAAACAGGGGTTGAGAAAGGAATTGGGCAAAGCAGGGAGATGGAGCCTGCTGGTCAGTCATACCCCAGAGAAAAGCTGAGGAGATGAGCCCACACCTCCCTGCCAAGTGTCTCCCCACCACCAAACAACACGTTCCCTCAGGGCAGACAAAAGGCACGAGGGTAAAAAAGGGAAGCCCACAGAGGGGCAGCCTCAGCACGAGCAGATCCACACCAAGGTTTCCTGATGAGGAGAATTCAGCCTCTGAGAAACAGCCCTGGCAGCACATTTCCTACAGCCTGTGGGAATCCACAAAATCAGAGGGATTTGGGAAAGCTGTGAAAGACAGGCCTCAGACACAGCAGAACTGTGATTAGAGCTAAGCAGCAGCCATGAGATAGGTCAGCAGAAAAATTATTGAAAAAGTAGAAAAGCAAGGACAAATAGAACAATGATCTGTGTATTAACACTAGTCTAGAATAACTCCCTAAGCTACAGAAAAGTTTATCTAGCAAGATATTAGGAAGTTTGAAGCTTAATAATGGAGCTCTGTGCATTGTGTTTTAAAGCTTACAAGTAGGTATCATATTTGAAATAAGCAAGCAATTGTTTTAACCAAAGGTACCTGTGCTTATAGTGGTTGGATAGAACTACTGTCAATGTGCTTTTGCTTTGTGAGATTGGTCAAAAACTTATAAAGTGAGTTGTAACATTAAGTTCTTGGTCTGCTGCCTGAGATGTGAGCTGACGGCATCTTCCCATTGTCACAACCACGTAATGAGACTGATGCTGGATAATCAAACAGCTCAAGGCAGGTTCCACAGCAGCCCCGTCCCGATTGTGATTTGCACACAGCCCCCGGCCGCTGATCCAGCCCAAAGGAAGAGTTGTGGGTTCATGATCCAGCGCCCAGACTGGGGGCTCAGTCACTCACCTGGTGTAGGAGCCCCGCGGGCAGGGCAGGCAGGAGAGCTGCCCCTGCTGGGGCTGGTGCTGCCCCGGGGCGCACGGGCTGCAGGCACCGGGGTCCCCACACGCTCCCCCCACGCAGCACGAGCAGCTCAGGGCGCCTAAATTGGGACAGAAAGCCAGGATCAGGACTGCAGGACTTGACTGAAACCCCTGTGTCTGCCAGGACAGGCCACTGCCACACAGGCAGGAGCCTTGGGATGCAGTTCCCCCGGCAAGGCACTCACAGAGGGTAGAAACTGCAGTGTTCATGCTAGTTATGCTGCTGTCCACTGTTAGCAAGCTGCAGGACAGCCACAAGATGATCTAAGGAGTCAAGGCTATCAGTGTGGATCTCCAGTAATTAAGCTGACTGCTTTTTCCTTCTTTAATTTGAGGGGGCCAGGAAAAATTTCCTTGTTTTCCCTCCAACACACACCAAAAAAAAGACATAAAAAAGAAAAAAACAAAAACCAAAAAACCAAAAAAGAACAACAACAAAACCACCCCCCAAAAAAGCCAAAAAAACAAACAAAAAAACCAACCAAACAAAAAAACCCAATAGACTTATTCAGATTACTGATAATTTAAGCTCATAGGAAGCAGAACTGATGAGTAAACCCCCAGAGTCAAGGATCTGCCTTAAGCAGCAGCAGTTTTTTCTTTGAGCACAGGTACCATGGCATTCCCAGCAGGCAAGTTCTACCCCTCTCTGTTCCACAAAACCAATCCCAGCCACTCAGAGGAATTGGGTGGATTTACTGCAGCTGCACCACCAACACAGGCAAAAGGAGAAGACCCTGACTAAGAAGATCCTGCATAAAAGGGAGGTGGGAGATAACTCCTGTCCTCTGCAGATTCATCCTAAAGCATCAGAGCTGCTTTTAAAAGGTGCCCTGCAGTGCAGGGAATAAGCAAAAATTAAAAAAAAAAATACATGTCTTGTATTTTGAGAATTATTTTCTTTTTTTCGAGATTTTTTTTCTGTGGGATGGGGTGGTGGTGTTTGAAATCAGAACCCAACCATGTTACAACAAATAACTTCTGGGAAAGGTTCTATGATGCACTGCTGAGCACAACAGAGGTTGATCAAGTATTTTCTCAAGGCCATGGAAAAAGGCTGTCTCTATAGCAGAGATTCTCTTTCAAACATTTGAGGCAGCTGGAAATTGGCCTCGTATTTGGCCCTGGAGCCCAGAATGATGTTCTGCCAATAAATCAAACTGGACTGGTGTTACACTTTGTGCCACAGTTCTGACCACTCTGTCACCCCACGGGGAAGCCTCAGAAAGACCAGAACACAGCACAAGGCCAGGAAAGACCAAGCCTCTGATTTCAGGAGGGTGAAATGAATTAAATCCCTCTCCTGCTGCCTGTGCAAGCTTCCAGCACAAGAACAAGAGCCCTGAGAAATCCCTGTTCCTCCAACGCAGCAGCCGGGGCAGGGACCCTTACCTTGGCTGGGGACTGTCCCTGGGGGGCAGGGGACACAGGCTGTCACATTCTCTGTGCTGCAGTTGGGGGCCTGGGGGGTGCTGGGGGGCACAGCTGAGGGCAGCAGCCCAGGGGATGGGGCCACTCCTGGAGGGGACCCTGGGGCACTGCTGGATGTGGCTGTCAGTGCTGAAGTCTGGGAGGAGGGGGCAGTCCCTGGGGTGGAGGGCAGAGTCTGGGCAGGGGTTTTTGTGCTTGGATCAGCAGATGGAGCTGCTGTGGATGCAGCAGGGCTTGCAGTGGTTGCTGTCAGTCCAGCTGAGAGTGTTGCAGCAGCAGCTGAGGGAGCAGAGGCTGGAGCAGGGGCTGCACTGGGAGGTGCTGGGGTGGATCCAGTGGGAACCCCAGTGCTGGTTGTACTGGGAGGTGCTGGGGTGGATGGAACTGGAACCTCAGTGCTGGTTGTACTGGGAGGTGCTGGGGTGGATGGAACTGGAACCCCAGTGCTGGTTGTACTGGAAGGTGCTGGGGTGGATGGAACTGGAACCCCAGTGCTGGTTGTACTGGAAGGTGCTGGGGTGGATGGAACTGGAACCCCAGTGCTGGTTGTACTGGAAGGTGCTGGGGTGGATCCAATGGGAACCCCAGTGCTGGTTGTCTGGCCTAAAGCAATACCTAAGAGAAGAAAAAAACATAATTAGTGGTTGAATCCCTTTAATATTGGCTTCTCATTTAGGTCTTTATCAACTGCTTAAACCATGTGTCCTTGTTTGATGTCCAGAAACTCCCCTCTGCTGTGCTCCACTACAGAGCAAGGATGTGAGGCAGCATCTGAGCATGCCTGGCACATGAGAGACTTACCAAGGACATAAATTAGTGGGTCCATGAGGCCACAAATAAGTAAATGCCAATGTCTGGGAGGTCTGACTCATGGGTGTGAGAATTGCCTGAAGCAGCCGGTTTTGTTAGCTCCTTGAGACTGTTCACTGAGATCTCATGACAATCTGATTTAAGATGCTTGGCTGCTTTATCCCATCTCCCTCAAACAGATCAACCAAGGAAAGACATGGGCTCAGGGCTCTTTTAAGCTGTTCTGGGGGTACTTCCAGTAACCGAAGGGAGCCTGAGGGCCAAGACCTGCTTTAATTCTGAAATCCCTCATCAGAGTGAGGATTAATGAAATCTGTAGAGAAAGGAGGTGTTGCTGCAGCTCAGGTTGCTTTGCTGTGACACAGGGTGGACTGGAACATCATCTGCTGATGGAAGACATCCCCTGGCACAGTGTGGGGAATGTCCTCCAGTTTCTAACAGAGGAAACTGAAACTGAGCATGGAAAGCAGCAGGTTATTGCTAATTTAGCAGTGTGGTACTAAGCAAAGGAAGAAAAGCAAAACCAAAACAGGCAGCTCCTGCCCCAGCAGCTGTGCCACCAGCTGGGTTCAGGAACTCAGGGCAGGGATTTCCTCAATATTTACTGCAACTTCTGAAAACACCCAACCCTACACAGCACCAGTGAGCAACTGGAGCTGCTGCTGTGGGGTGTAAATGCTCTCTCCAGCAGCACACACCTGCTGAACCCCCTTGCCAATCCATGCACAGTGCCAGGAAAGCACAAGGACTCCTAAGAAAGTGGTTTATGGTTTTGCAGGAGGCCAAAGAGTGCAGCTGACACCCACGAGTGGGTGTGGGTGAGGAAGGACACGGGCAGGGTGACAAGAGGGGTGACAGCACAAGCTGTCAGGTGTCAGACCCACATCCCTGCAGGCTCTCCCCCAGCCTTAAATTCATCTCTCAATTTTGTACCCACCATGCAAGGCCAGGCACTGTGGGCACCAGTGCTCAGCACTACCATGGTACAAACACCAATGTGCAGACCAAGCTGAGGGCAGCTCCAGTTAAAATTCTGCACCAGGATCAGCACAGTGGATGAAAGAGGCTTTATAAGGTTGTGATCACATGGAGACAGTTTGCTGGGAGTGCTCCCTCCTGTTGTTGACTGCCTGCTTTGTGCCAAAATCCATCTTGGTGTAGCTACTGAGTAAAGCAGATGAGCACCCAGCCATCTGGGCCACTGCTCAGGTTTTAAAGAATTTACAGAACAGCCTGAGTTGGAAGGGACCCAGAGGATTGTGGACTCCAGCTCCCATATGTGGATCGAGCCCACAACCTTGGCATTATAGCACTGTGCCAATAATGTTCAGCATTAACTGAACTATATCCCCTTTTCTTGCTGTGGCCTAAAACAGAGACACCAAATCTGCCAGTGATCATTTTGTAACACCCTGGTTTGCCCCAGGCTCAAATCAGGGAGCAGAGGTGCCAGCATTGGTCCAAGGCAGGGAGAGCAGCCCCACAGTGCCCACCCAGGACACTGCTGCTGTGGCCAAGCCTCCACCCAGGACCAAGATGGACAATTGCCCTCATCTGACTCCCCTCCCCAGGGGTTGAGGCCAGTCTGCTCGCTTTTTCCTCACCTCTGGCAACAAACTGAGTCAGTCCTGAGATCCATTCAACTTACCCTAACATAAACACTAGCAGTAAGGTAGGGGCAATGCCAAACTCCCAGGGAAAACCTTTCAGAAGGACCTCTGAGATCAAAGTCTGATCTCCCACAGCTCCCTCCTGACCCCAACAGCTCAACCCTGCCAGCCAGAGACACTGCACAGGTTTCAACAATTTGGACTGCCCATAGCTGGATGAATTTTGTTGTTGTTGGGGTTTTTTAGCTGAATGTTTCATTGGTTGGTTGGATTTAATGTCAAATGGTGGTGCTCTTCAGAGGAATTTTTAAAAATGGAAAGCAGTTTTCCACAACAAATTAGCAAAAGTAGTAAAGTTGTTTGCATAACGTCAGTAGCCATCAATGACATTTGGTAGCCAGTATTTCTTAATAATTTAAACAACTTTTGGAGAAAAAAAAAAAGATGTCAGAAAGCTGGAAAAAATAGTTTTGAGCACTAGTAAAGTGTTTGTGTATCTTACCAGTTATAATCAGTCACAAGTGGGAAAACTAGTACTCAAACAACCTCAGCTTCATCAGACAAAGCATTTTCTCTCCTGCACTTACACTGTTCTATCCCATGGAACAGCAATTTTGCTTTCTAGAGCCTTTTTTGGTTTTGCTTTGTTTTGTTTTAAGGAGCACTGTGAATCACCTGAAGTATCTCCAGGGGAACATGAAGGATGTGTTACTTTGCATGTGACGCCTTGGTACGAACAGGAGCCTTGGGGAAGTCGGGGAAGGATAGAGAGCTGATCTTTCCCAACCTACCAACAGGCATCCTGCTCTTTGGGGTTTAAGATAAAGCCTCTGCAAATCCTCACTAGGCAGAGCAATACAGCTCTATTTCTTTTTTTTTCTTCTTCTTTTCTCCCTGTAAAAGCAAATTTTTGTATTTACCGCAAGCATCCCGCTTCCACCACTGCCTGTGTTTCAACACTTCCCTCCTTCCCCCAGCCTCACCCCAGGGCTCCCTCAGTCCCACTATGGCTTCACCCCCTCTGTGCTCAGAGGAGATAAACCCTGTGTTGGGAGGCCTTACCTGCTAAGCACACCATGGTCAAGCTGCACAGCAGAGGACAGAGCCAGGCACTCATTTTTCCCTGAGGAGTAACACAGCCTGTCAAGAGGCGAGATCAGCAGCTCCTGCCCTCACCCAGCTGCTCATTCTGCTCCGCTGTGGTGCCCAATTTTGTCACCTGACTGATCATGTGGCTCAGCCAAGTCAACCTCTCCCCAACAAAGGCGGGTTTATATTTGGAGGCCGCAGCAGGTCTGAGGGGACACGGCCTCCTCGGAGCAGAGCACCCAGAGGAGCAGCTCTGCCTCCCAGAGCTGCAGAAATCCCTGTGAGGAGCGCTCTGGAGGAACGGGTGGGCAGGAAGGGGCAGAGCAGCATGGGAACCCAGCCTGGCTGCGGGCCAGCCCCCCGTGACCTCGTCAAGTGAGAGGATTTCATTTTTTAGACCCACGGGATTTCCTGAGAGAAGAGAAACAAGAAAAACAACCCCAGAGGAGTTCCCAATTTAACTGGGGCCAGCCATGCTGTAGCCAGAATTCAGCTTCTGGTGAGCACAGAGCTTTCCCAGCCAGCATTTCCCTCCTTCTCCCTCCCCATTGCCCCCACGGTGTCCAGCTGCATGCATCAAGATCTTATCAGGATCAAGCACATCAATCCTGAGGATGATGATTTTGAGGTGAGAGCATTAAGTTTAATGGGGCCCCACCCCATTTTCTTTCTGTCTTTACTGCCTGCTGGGCCACCTGAGGACACAGATGTCCCCATGATTTCCTTACCTTGCAGCCCTGCTTTGAAAGATCCCCCCTTTCCCTCTGCCCCCACTGTTGAGCAATCAGCATTGCCAAGCCCCCACTTTGAGAGGATTTCCTTTAGCATTCAGGTGAATGCCACACCTCACTGTCACCTCTTTGCCCAAATTGAGGGAACAGAGGGTACTCATACAGGATTGTGGATGCTCCACAAGCAGCCCCACAGCTGCACATTCAGTGAGAACAGGCACTATCATGTGCTGCTCCTGTCCCTTGGGCTCCAGGATCCTCAATAGGGCCCAACGTGATGAGCCAAGACTAGCCTGCTCTAACACAAACCCTCAGGCTTTCCTCACAGTGCCCCAGGTGGGGTCAGTCTGGGGCCAGGGACACTTTCTTGTCCTCCTGTCTCTGGCAGTGACATCTGCCTGACCATCCTGCTTCATGGCAGCTGCACAGAGACAGGGCAGCTTCCTCCAGTCTGTGTCACCACTTTGGGTGGGTGCAGGTCAGGCTGTGACCAGCTGGCTCCCAACACGGTCAGACAAAACCTTAACCTGATCTGCCCAAGTGATCCCAAGCAAGGCATCAGGCTCAAGGACTGACCCTGGCAGCCCCTCAGAGCCACTGCCCAGTGGCCCTGGACAAGGCAGGGCTGGGCTGAGTGCTGCCCCTTCCCTGCAGGCAGGAGAGCTCTCAGTGTGACATTGTTCTGCTTGGCTTTGCAGGCTGTACAAGCCTTTGCACAGCATGTTTGATCTCAGTCTGTGTAAAGAACCTGTTCCACCAGAGCTGTGCAGGGCCATCCACTCTCGGTGGGCTGAGGCTCTGCAGTGAGAGACAACTCCTGCAGGAGCAGCACCTGGGGATGGAGCAGCTCTGGGCACTGGTGAAACACTGCCAGCAATCACCCAGTGGGGTTTATCCTGCTAGGGAAGCTGGCAGCAGACCAGTCCCCCATCCCACAAGCTGCACAGCTGCACCCCCTGGTTAGTGAGTGGGGAACTTTCCCACACTCCCCAGTCCCAGAGCCAAGTCACACATTTGCTGAGCAGCTACAACACCCATGTACACACTGGAAAAGCAGTTCAGAACTGGATGTGGCAGCACTTTCACTGTCAGTTTCAGCCTAACACATGGAAGAGAAAAGGAAATTGTGCATTAAAACCCTTCCTGTGCCCTCAGAGCCCCCTTTCTGGGTGAGCTACCAGAGCCAGGTGAGAGATGAGACATGCTGCTTTCCTCTCAACTGTTTTAGCAACTGGGCAAGCTGGAAAGACACTTCTGATGGAGAAAATCTAACGCCACTTCAAGGCAGAAAAGTACAAACAGACAAATTCATAAACTCCTGACCTGCCTGGGCCTGTCTCCATTGAGATTAAATGCTTTTGCTAGTTGGTTCACAGAGAATAAAAAGCAGTGTCATGGTTTATCAAAAACAATGTCCTAGGTTGGCACAGGGCCCTGATCTTGTCAGTTCTGTTGCTCTTCCATGGCTGGCTGACCTTGGACAAACCAGACAGTGCCCTCCACCCTCAGAGCTTACAGGGCAGAGACAGGAGCAATGATGCTCCCCCAAGAACACAGCATCCTGTGCAAACACTCCACAGTTTGTCCAGCTCCCTGGCCTTGCCCAGCCTGGAAAGGACAGCTCTTGTCCACGGCTGTCCTGATCCATCCCTCTGAGCAAGCAAAGGATTTGCCATCAGAGGTTTCATCTGCTGAGGGCAGATTGGATTTCTGAGCTTCCCAGGCTTTAGAAGCCCAAGGAGCACCACAGGGCTGTCAGTCCCCTGGGTGTCAGATCTCCCAGTGATTGTTTACAAGCAGAGCTGCCTGCTGAATAAGAAACACCAAGCGGGAAGACTCTCAAACACCAGCCCTCCTTAGTGTCACCTGTGACCTGCCACTGCCCCAGCTTTTGTCAGTGGGATGTCACTAAGTGCTGTGGGGCTGAAAATGCCCAGGTGAGGTCCCACCTGCAGTGGGGACAGTGCAGAGGAGAGGAGTGTGTGAGCTGACAGCAGACTGTCACATCCATCAGCCTGAAAACAGCAGGTCACCAGGTGACTCCTTAAGGTCAGGAAGGTATTGACTACAAGCAGAGGAGCAGATTGGTTTGGCTTGAAAGGTACTGCTAAATATCATCTTCTTTCAACCCCCCTGCCAGGATAGGGACACCTTATACTAGACCAGGCTGCTTCAAGACTGATCCAACCTGACCTTGAACACCTCCAGGGATGGTGCAGCCACAGCTTCTCTGGGCAACCACTTCCAGTGCCTCACCATCCTCACAGTTATGATTTTTTCCCCCTAATAACTAATCTAATCCTGTACCTTTTCAGTTCAAAGCCATTCCCCCTTATCCTATCACCACATGTCCTTGTGTCCCTCTCCAGCTCTTTTATAGCCCCTTGAGGTAGCAGAAGGTGCTGTAAAGTCTCCCTGGAGCCTTGCCTTCTCCAGGCTAAACAACCCCAATTCCCTCAGCCTGTCCTCATAGCAGAGGTGCTCCAGGCCTCTGAGGACCTTACTGGCCCTCCTCTGGACTCAGATCATTTTATCCTTGCATTCTTAGACTCTTCCCATGGTTATCCACCACTCCACTGCACTGTTGGTGTCCTAGGCCTAGCAGACACCCGTTGGAGTGGTAAATGACTGTTGTGCTCCAAGGCAGGCAAGGTGCAGCAAAGCTGTCCTGTTCCCATGACTCCAGGGAAAATGGGGATGCTTGGTGTGCTGTGTGCAGCTACTGCACAGGACTGTGGTCCTTTGGCAGGGTTGCTGGGCTAGAAACTGGGGGTGGGCTGAAACTGGGCTGCTGTTGCTGGGAAAGAGCAACAAATTCAGGCAAACTGCAAGCTGGATTCTGACAGGGGCTTTTTCTTGGAAAATACTTTTCTTCAAGCAATATAGGTTGTGATTCCTACCCAAACCTGGCTCTGTGTAGAAGAGGTACCAGCTGCAGGTATCACTTGCTCCTTCACAGACAAAAAAGCAGAAGCACTCCTGACCCCCCTGGGATGCACCACTCCATGGGCTGTGCTGGGAAGCAACAGTGAACCCAGACCCCTCTTTTAGGTGCAAGGTTATTCCAAGGTATATCCACTGACTCCCATAAAACAGGTGTCCAGGCTTTAGGGATGCAGGTCTAACAAGCAGTCCACAGCTTTGTGCTCAAGAGGGGGCCAAGACACTCCTACAGAGGTGAGAAAAAAACCCAAAAAAATAAAAACAACCCCTCCCCAAAACCCCAAAACAACAACAACAACAAGAACAAAAAAACAAACCCCAAAAACAACCAAAAAGCACAAAAAAACCCAAACAAACAAAAAACCAAACCAAAACAAAAAACCCAGAAAAAAACAAAACAAAAAAAACCAAAAACAACCCAGAAAACCCCCCAAAAACAAAATAAAAGGCAGCACCACTGTTCCCCAAAAGCACACAGAATTTTTGTGCTCTGGACGGCGAAATCTCTCCGTGAGCGAGCGGCCACGCGATGGCACCACAGCGCCGGGCAGGGGACACCAAAATCGCCCGACCCAAATTCAGCCTTTGGGAGCGGCTCTTCCCAAACCGCGCCCGCAGGAACCTCCGGCAGCCGTGGCTGTTGGGGAGGTGGAATAACGACAGCAAAAGGGAGCTGGAGGAATTGAAGTAAAAAATAAAAGTTAAAAGTTATTACAGTCACTCTGAAACAAAACCTCACACCTCTCCTTTTCTTAAAAAATGTGTTTCTTCTGTGCCTGGGTTTAGAAGGAATAATAAAGAAAGAGTGGAGCTAGCCAAAGGAAAGTTGCTGTACTGCAGCAGGGATCTGATGGTTTAGCCAGCCATAATCATATACAGAGGCTAGAAGTTTATATTCTCACAAGCAGCACAGAACATGAAATTCTTATTTAGTACCCCCATCAGTTAAAACGGGGGTCATAAGTGGACCAGTGTGTCTGGGGTGTCAGTTTTAGGACACAGGTCAAACCCAGCTGGTGCTTTAGGCAGAACCAGGGGGTGTTGCCTGTGCTGTTCATGCCTGCAGCATCTGGGGGAGGGAAGGAGGAAACACCTTCCATTGAGGCACAGCTTGGGTCCCCCTGGCCAACAGCTCTGGATCAGTGCACACAGTCACAAAAGTTTAGCACAAGACCACCTTGCCTTGCCAACTCTCCTATGTCAGGAAACAGCCAATTAAAAAAAAATAATTGAAAGATGAAAATGGAAAAGGAGAGAGACTATGGACTTCAGTGACACCAAATGATGGGGCAGGCACTAGAGCCAAGCTTACATACTAGTGAGAGGTTCAATCAACCATTCAGAGAAACCAGTTGCTTTCTGTTTTCAATAAATTCCTACCAGGAAGGAGTAAATATATTATAAAACCAAATACACAGGAACCACATTCTGAAAGCCAAATGATGGAATTTCCCCCAGTTCCTCAGGAAAAGGTTGCAGAATCCCAGAATGTTTTCAGTTGGAAGGGACCTTAATGATCATTCAGTTCCAACCCCCCTGCCATGGGCAGGGACACCTTCCATTAGACCAGGTTGCTCCAAGCCCCATCCCACCTGACCTTGAGCAATTCCAGGGATGGTACAATGCGAGTGTCTTGAAATACAGCAGGTTCTGTAAACAGTCACCTCATTTACTTTAGAACAGTCAGATTTTGCTTTTTGCCTCATTTTATTTTCCTTTTCCTGCTCTCAGGAGAGCCTGTACACACACCTGTGTAGCAGGGAGAGGAGTGGGGTCCCAGATGTCCAAGCTCTGTCTAAAGGCACTCAGAACACAGGACAGCATCTGGCACAGGTTGTCCAGCTCTGGAAGAGGTCAGTGTTTGGTCCATCATCAGTCCTAAGGGTTAGCATGAGAGCAACATCCTAAACATTAAATCCCCTACAGCCTTGTACCAGCTAAACCTCTCCCAAGTGTCCAGTGGCACAGAGATTGCTAAAACCAGCTGGGTCTGGTTCTGCCCAGGCTCAGCAGGCAGGTGAAGTGGCACACCCCTGTTCATGTGGAGTGTATCAGGTCAGGGCACCAGGAAACCTCAGAGAGCAATTCCTCTATGAAATAACAAATGGAGTGTGCATCTCAGCCTCTCCTAAAGCTTTTGTCCCAAGCATTCCACCAGAGCAGCTGACCTGGAACAGAATTCCCTTCCTGGCTATTTGATAAGGTCGACTTGACACAGAAAAGAAAAACTTCTGACTATGTCTGGCACTGCCCCAGCACAGGCAAGTGGAACAGAGCCATTTCATACAGCTGCACATAGGGAAACTGGGATAAGGCCAGCCACACATAACACTGTAAGACAAACCTTTGTACTTATCACAGAACCAGACCCTAGGAACAGTACATGAGCATGAAAACAGTCTCTAAACATCCACAGCAAACCCCACACTAAAAACCAACAACCCCAAAACACACTCACCTTCTGCAGCAGTCAAACTGAGAGAAGCCACCATTGCCCCAGTTCAGATAAAGGCAGTGTTGAAGAGCAGGGTTTATTTCACACTTCCACACCCCATCCCCAGAACCTGGGCATGGCAGCTGTTCCTCACACCATCAGATCTCAACACAGGCACACCCACACACCACAGACACAGCACCCAGGGCTCACCAGCTTTCAGTGAACCCACACACAGAGCCAAGAGCAGGTATTGCAGTAAATCTACTCACAAATATCCTAAACCAGCAAAACCAGCACTTGCCAGCTTTGAACTGCTAACTCTGAAATGCACCTACAGAAACAATGCCACTCATCTGAAAGATACAAAATATCAGGCAATTTGGCTCTTTGGTCTCAGGCTGGTGGTACCACTGTTGGTACAATGAACAACTTGGTTATTAAGAAGAGCATCAGTCCACTTCCTTAGAAAAGCTAAATTTTTTATTATACATACTGTATTACACTGAAAATACGTACCCAAAGACAGCATATTTTGAATTTACATCTGTACAAAAAAAACCAAACAAAAACCAATAGAAAACATACGGGCTATGCTATAGATGTGACATTTTACAAAATGACAGTTTTTGTTAAAGGCACCAGATTCCCAGAGGGCTCTGGCTTAACATTTTTTAGTCTTTTTTTTTTTTTTTCCAGTCAGACCTTACTATGAAAATGTGATTCACTCTTAAACTGCATGATGCCAAAGTCTCAAGATTCTTTTATCTAGACAAGTGGTCTGCACTTTGACACAACTTAGTGAGAGAAGTGATCAATTCCACATGGAGATATCAAGCAACTACCAAAGGCTCCTCCCCAGTGTATCCAGGATCCTATGGCATTGAACTGAAAGATTAAATGGCAAAGCCAGCACTGAAAATCAAATTAACCCACAAAATACCAGCCCAATACTAGAGTGTTAACTGTACTAAGCCTAGACTGGTTTGTATGGAGATAACTACAAAGCATTAGAGTAGCAAAAGAATGAACAGAAAGATGGAATCTGTGATCTCAGCATCCTTCTTGGGCTCCCTTTCTTTGTTATACTCATTTCACTCTTTCTGGTCCTCACAGCACACATGAAAGAAAATGGAGCCTTCAGAAACCTAGTACTTCACCATAGGACAAGTTATTGAAGAACCCTGGGTAAGATGAATGTGCTCTTTCTCCCCTGAAAACAAAGTCTGGAAAGGACAGGGAAATCAAAAACCACTTTCACTGCTTCTTTCTGCAGTATTTCATACTCAGATCAAAGAACCTAATTCATATCATGTCTAGGCTTGCATAGACAGGAGCTTCTCTACAAGCAAGGGCAAGAGAGACTGGGACATCCCCCTTGATGAGGTGCAGCTCAAGCCCAAAGCTCTTAAGTTTGGGGTTGCTATTTCCTAAAACTTAATGCTTGGATAAAGGCATGAGGAAAGGAGAAAAGCAAAGCTTTAAGAAAATTCTGAATTACTTCTCTGGTCAACTCAGTAAATCTGCAAGTCATTCTAGAGTAAAGAAATGCTTTTTTTTAACCTGACAGCACACACTGAGTCTCACTGAATAGCTTCCCATCCAAGTGACTGACTATTCAAGACAAAAAACATCAAGTTCCAAGGCCAGATTTTGTTCTGGATATAACAATCTAAAAATATTGGAATTTCAATATTAAGTTTCCCTTTCTGATTTGTCTGGCATTATTCCTACTTCCAGAACACAGATTTGATGATTTAATTCACTGAACCAAAGAACTCCATGTAGTTTTACTTCTCACTGTATCACTTTAACAATGTTGCAGAGACTTCCCCTTTAGGCATTTAAACACTTTATAGATTCACAGATCAAGTTGAAGTAGTCCTCTAGTATTGAGGGTCATAGAGTGACTTAAAAAAATTAATTTTGCAGTGTTAAATTGTCTCATCATAATGAGTTTATGGAATTAAAAATATACTATAGTTCTACTTAAAATTTCCATTTATCGCCTATGACTGACTTTAGACAAACAGGCCTGGAGACCAACTGCATTATGCAGCAATTACAAACAGCAGCATGGTTAAGCTTCCTACATACTACTGCACTCAAAAGACTCCACTGCATTCTAGAAGGGCTTCTTGAAGAGCAGAGGGACAGCTGTCTCCTCCCAAAGCACAGCTCTGAAATGCAGGCTTCTGTGGCCCCAGAAAGTGTAGTGAGGGACCACCATTAATCTCAAGCAAGCCAAAAGAGCCACCACACAGCAGCTCCTGACCACGACTGAACTGCACAGGTCCTGCATCAACAGTTTACAATGACAGTACATGTCCCTCAATCCAGCCAATTTTCTAAATGCTCATTCTTAACAACTGTATCTGATACTTGCAGCTCATCTAGCAAGCAGGAACAGTTAAGACAGAAGTATCATACACATGTACAGAAAACTGGTCATCACAAGGAAAAAACTTCAAAATCTGAATGCAGACAACAAAAGGAATGTCACTTTTCTTTAAACCTTTCTTCTAAAAGATGAATACTTTCATATCCTATCATTAGCCCTCACTGTGTAACACTCTAAAACCAAATAAATTACAACCATAATACATTCTACTAAACTCCTAAAAACTAAAACTCACTACTCACCCTCACTTGTCAAGCTGTTTAAAAAGAGAAGTTGGAATCAAAATTGCAATCTACATTGTTTCTGAAATGGGCAATTCTGGGGAGGACAGCCCCATGTGACAGTTATATGTGAGTAACTTTCAGACTAAATCATGCACAACACTGTAACAGCAGCAGCTACCATCAAACACCCTGCCTGTTACAGGAGCTAGAACATTCTGTGTATTTGCTTAAATAAAGTTAAGAAATCTACACTTTTGGTCACATCTTAAAACACTGTAGAATACAGGGCATTTTTTAAAAATATTATTTATACTTGCCCTGTCCTGGTGGGTAGTTTGATTGAGAAACAAAGATTAAAATGCAATAAAAATTCCCCAATAAAAAAAAAAATTCTAATCAAACATCTAAATGTTTTTATTAGTATACAAGTGTACTATGGGATTTGGTCTTTTTTTTTTTTTTTTCAGAAAAAAGGAACAAAAAAAAAGCCTCATTTAGTCCTAAAGCTCCACTTCAACATGAATCTTTAAGTCAGCCCAAGGTACCTCCTCAACACATCACCACTCTGCTACTCATCTTTGTATTTCTTCCTCCTAAGCAGCATTCCCAGCCAAGCACTGCTCCACACACAAGTAGTGGAAGAAACCAGACACTGAATTCAAGACTCCTTCAAATGGTGAAGCTGTGTCCCAAGAAGGAATCCTGACTAATGCACATAAATCCTCTCAGTAAATGCCAGCTTTGCTTGCAGCATTAAAGCCAGATTACACCAGTGGTATGAACACAGTTATAAAGATAAAAATGTGCTTCTACTAGCAGGGGACAAGTACAAGGCACATTTATATGCCAGTATAATTGCGGTCACATTAGCAATTATACTGATAAAACTACACTGGTGAGAACCACAGCTACAATCATTAAAAACTTTTTGGGTCAGGGTTTGGCAATCAAGCAGCTTTTGACTACTCAACCAAACATTAATAGTGCCTCAAGACAACAAAACTACTTCTACTCAGATGTGTCTCAGCCATTTCTAGGGCCATTTTGAAATTAAGCTCCAGTTGGTTTTGAGACGTAGTTGTTTCCCTTCCTCCAGGTGAGTTATGCTAAGGGCTTGTTATGCAAGAGCCATGGATCAACTTCTACCCCAAGACTCCTATGGCAAGAAACTATCACTTCCAGGCAGCACAAGCCACAGTTACTTTTACCATTTTGCTGGGTTTTTTCTTCAGAAAGTTAAGATACTCAGTTTTTGTCTATCTCAAATAATGCCAAATAAAGATTAACTCATGCTGGGCATGTACATTGATAATATAGAGAGTTAACAAGATGTAGGATATGGGGTAATAATTATTAAAGTGGTTAAGGCTTATGCTCCCCAGAGGCCCCATGGGAAAGGCACAGCTGCAGGCTGGAGGGGGCAGTCAGGAGTGAGGAGTCACTGAGCGACAGCTGGGAGTGAGATTGTGATTGGCTGCAGGAACACGCAGTGAGATTGTGATTGGCTGGAGGAACGGTGAACAGCGTAAGAGCAGGAAGCTGATTGGATGATAGGACATGTGGACAGCAGCACAGCAGCTGAGCCAGCCAATGGGTGCCTTCTTTCTGTTAAGTTCTGTTGTCAGTTTGGTTGCAGTTATGTCAGGTTTCTGTTTGGTAGACATTAGAGGTATAAAAAAGGGCCGATTTCTACAATAAAACAATCTCCTTTGGATGCATAAGGGGGCCTGTGTCACTTTGTTCCCCACTGCTGGCTGACCTGAACAGACACCTATAAAGGGGGCTCAGGGTGTGCAGTGGGCTCTGGTAGCAGCTCCCACTAGGTCAAGGAACCAGCCAGGCAGGATCCAGGAAGAGTCTGGGAAGGAACTTGGGAATTTAAAGTATGTGCACCTCTCACTGGGAGGGTGAGGGGACTAGTGGGAGAAAGTATGGGAGGTGGAATATCCCTGGAACAAAGCAGGAGCTTGGGCCAGGTCAGGCAGCTCCTACATCAGCAATCTATTAATATGGCTGATGTGAAACTAAGCACCCTGCTGGACTGGGTGTCTAATCAAGTTAAAGATTTTACCTTTAGTGGGTCCCTTTGATCAGAAACCTGCAAGCAATAGGCCAGAGACTTTTTGATCACCAGAGATGGCGATGCCAAAGCTTGCAGGCACCTTGCTACATGGGGGGCAACTATGGCAGCCATTAAAGGCAGTCACACAAATGTCAGCCACTACAATGGCTTTGGAAGTTAATTCCCCCAAACCCATATACAACCCTAAGATGGACCCAAACCCTGCTGAATTCCCTTATCCCAAGACTAAACCAAGCCCCACAGAGCTGTCTCACCCCAATAAAACACCCTGCGTGCTGGCCCCTTTGGCGCAGAACTCCCGCATCGCGAGCAGGTGGCAACTCACTCCCTGGCCAAGATGGCGGTGCAGTAGTCCAGCGTTGGCAGCAATGCTGGGAAATCACCATGAAGGAGGGTGACTTGGTGGTCATTTCAGCCTGCCCAGTAATACATGCACCAAACCAATGCCCACAGTACCAAGAGCTAGACTGTAAAATAAAGAACTGAGGGCGCTAGTCAAAGAAAGTGGCATATTCTCCTGTCGCACCCTATCTACCTTGAGTCTATTGGTACTGCACACATCCTCACACCCATGACTGGAAAAGCACAAGGAAGATGATTCTAACAGTGATGCAGTTAGCAGTCTGGCTAACTGATTACTGAGCTGGGTACAGCCCGGGGGAAGCGCTGCAGGACAGAAATGCACCAGCAGCCATTGTGTACCGCTGACCACAGAGGGTCCCTTTGCAGTCCCTGCAGCACAGGCAGCCTACCTGTGTGATGTATGTGATATCACTCACCTAGCCCTGCAGGCCCTGCAGCAACTCCCAGGGACGGGTATCGACTCTAATATGTCTTTTGCTGAGATTTTACAAGGTCCAGCAGAGTTGTTTGTGCAGTTCCTGGACAGACTGCATGCCACGCTCTCCTGGCAAGCCAACGATGATGAGGCCAGAATACAGAATAACTCTGGCCTTATTCTGTTGCAGCAGCTTGCATTTACAAATGCAAACAAAGACTGGAGAAAAGCACTGCTCACTGTTCATAACCTATGTACTTGTGATATAGCAGATATGGTTAAAGCATGCCAAAATGTGGGAATTACTGCTCATAATACTAACTCTCTGGCAGTGGCTTGAGCCACGCACTTCCAGGTTTTGGACACACATCCAGGGGGTCCTGGCTGGGTGGGGGCCGGGGTGGACCTGGTGGCCACACTGACAGCACTCAGCTCGCTGCAGGTGGCCTATGGCCAGCCACAGGCACATCAGGGACTGCCAGCCCATCAAGTAGGGCAATGTCACACATGAAGCGTGGCCCAGTGACAACAGCACAGCCAGCCCAATGGCTGTCACCAGAACACTTGTCTCATACATCCACCCAGAAGTGGCAGTCGGGCCACAGGGCCACCAGCAGCAGAGGCAACCAGGGGGTGCAGAGCACACTGTTCTGGGGCACAGGGTTGCCAGCAGTGAGCAGGTGGCTCCCCTGGCACAGGCACTGCCATGCCACCCTTACAGCGAGCCCCAGCATTGTTGCTGCAAGCCACCAGGACCTTGTACCTCTACCTTGCCTCCTCAGAGGAGCAAACCTGCCTGGAGGCTGCACATTTGGCTGAGACAAAGAGATGTTTCCTTTGATAGTTTTGAATTGGTTTGTTTGTGACAAAAAGGTAAATGGTACTTTTAAAGTAGTTGTATATATATGTACATAGTTATAGTTATTTACAAGTCATTTATGACAAAGCCAGCTGTTCTGTGAGTAATTATTCAAGATTTCTTTTAAGGATATGATAGGAAAGCCTTCCCAGTCTAGGTCTTAGCTCTGGCCAAGCTATGGCCTTGACTGGGCAAGGAAAAGTTTGCTATCAAACCCAGATGTTTGCTATCAAACCCGGGTGTTTCTGTACAAAAAAAGGACTCACTAGCTTGCAAAAGCTAGACCACTTTCCTTTGAGGTAAACATGGAAGCCTCATCCGGAAGAGGCCTTCCAAGTCCTCATTGTGAAAAGAAGGCTCTTGGGAGATCCTGGGTGATAGCAAAGCATATAGGTAGTTGTAAGCTTCACCTTGTTATTTCATTCAAAATTGAATTATGTTCCTGTTAAGCCTTACTACTCACACCAGAGAAGCCTATGTTACAGTTTTTGAAAAGTTGTAATAATTATAATTGTTGTCATTGTTACTAATGTCTTAGGAATTGCTTAGGTTTTTCCTAGGAGGTTTTCATTGCTTAATAAAAAAAGAGGGAGGGGGGAGATGTAGGATATGGGGTAATAATTATTAAAGTGGTTAAGGCTTATGCTCTCCAGAAGGCCCCATGGGAAAGGCACAGCTGCAGGCTGGAGGGGTGAGAGGCAGTCAGGAGTGAGGAGAGAGTCAGTTGAGTGACAGCTGGGAGTGAGATTGTGATTGGCTGGAGGAAGGCATGGACAGCGTAAGAGCAGGAAGCTGATTGGATGACAGGACACGTGGACAGCAGCACGGCAGCTGAGCCAGCCAATGGGTGCCTTCTTTCTGTTAAGTTCTGTTAGGTCTCAGGTTGGTTTCAGTTACGTCAGGTTGAGATTAAAGGTTTAAAAAAATGTGATTTCTACAATAAAGCAATCTCCTTCAGATGCGTAAGGAGATCCATGTCATTTTCTTCCCACTGCTAAAACAAAGCTGCTCAATCTCATCCTATGACCCAAGCCTAAATAAGCTAAACATACAGTGGGTACCTTCAGACACTGACATCTACCATCTGCAATAGTTATACTGCAGCTGAAATACAAAATTGTCAAGTACCGACCTGTGGTGCTTCATACATCCATTCTTACGACAGAACTCATGTTGCCAAAGAAAATGTTTTTATAATAAAGATCTGTGCCCTCAGTTAACAGTAAACCGTGAGTGACTGCGCAGTAGTCTTCTCTTCTGGTACTTAGCAGTAAACTGCTCCCATCTGTAACCTTTCAGCTGTGATCTCCTTTTTCAGCATCCTGAACAAAAACACAGCAACAATGTCCCCCCCTCCCCTAAGATCATCTTTCCCTCTCCCAAGATTAATAAAAAAAGAAATTAAGTGAGTTTGACACCATCAAACACGTCTGTGTTCACTGAGCTCAGTTTGGTTGAAGAGCACAGCTTCTACTCTGGAGGGTAATAAGAAATGTACACATGAATGCCATTTTGTACAGCTGACATACTCTATGAGCTGGTTGACTCTAAACTTGATTTGGTCCAGTCTGCTGCTGCTGCATCTCTTAGGAAACATTAGTTATAGGTTTGTACTTCTTGAATCTGGTCCATTCACCAGTAGCATAGTTCATTTCAAAGACTGTGTCAACCAACATAGTGGTGCTGCCCGTGCCATCTGCCTTTGGTAAATCTTCTGTATGTTCACTAAGTTTAATTTGGATGATGTCACCTTGCTCTTGGCAAGGATTCTCTGCAGAAACAAGGAGAGAAACACGTTATACATTTCAACAGTATATTAAGATATACAGCAGTATATCAGACAAGATAGGGGGTTCTTATGCTTAAAAAAACCCCCACAAAACACAAACAACTCTCAAACCCAAAGCTGAGCAAACCAGATAAAGGTTTTCCTCCCTCCATACTCCTGAGACTAAATTTTAAAAATAACAAAAGCAGACCCCAAAAGACAAAGCTCAAGGCTAACATAATTGGAAGAACAAATAAAAGAGGGAGTAAACCCTGCCAGTGTAATTTCTCTCTACCTCAAGAGTCAGAAGAGAAGATTATAATTTAAATGGAGTTGGTAAAAAAACTACCAGAGTTACTTTACTTGGGAGACATTTTGTAGTTAAATGCCTTAAGAATTTTTAGCTGTTAAGGAACCCCAAAAAGCTTCACTGAAACCATTTGTCCCAGACTCAGGTCCGTGCCAGTAGAAGTTTTAAATGTTACACTTCAAGGTACTGGAACGATGCTCAAGAATATCAGTTGGCAGTTATTTATCCAACCTTCAGAAGGTGCTGGCATTAATCACTAAAGGAATTCATGTTAATATTTACTTTACTATATATGTATATGTGAATCTATATCACACACACTTCCAAAATAATATTTTACTTTGCATTAGAAAAGGCTGTCTGTGTAGATATTAAAGTACAGCCTCCTAGTGCAATCTGAAGTAGCATTAAAAACACCATCATCAATGCAAGATGGACCAAACTTAAAGCTCAGGGATCACCACAGTAACTCTGCTCTGGTCATTCTCACCAGAGTATTGCATTACTCCAAATGCATGAGCCACACTTAGGCTGCAGGACTCTGGTGGTAAGAGCCCACAAATACCAAATTAGAAACCAGAGCTAGTGCAGATGATGGAGTTCACTTAAGGACTCTTAAGCCCCTTCTCATCTTACATCCAATAATCTTCTAGGTAAAACAGCTTTGGTCTATCAAGGCCAATACATAACAGGATCCAGCTATGAGACAGCTTATCTCCCTGTGATTCACAGCACCAGTTGTTATCTAAAGTCTCTAAGATAACAGTTGCCAGTTTCTAAAGCAAGGAATTAGCAAAGAGGTTCTGTACTACCCGACTGGTACATCAGCTGGCCACAAAAGAATTTACATTCATTGGTCCTCTAGGCAGAGCAGTAGCACCCAACCACTTTGTTCACAGCTTACCAGCTGCCTTGCTTCTCTTCAACCCCAAGCCCTGATTCTACAGCGAGTTCAGTTATATCATGGTCAGCAGCTTTTCTGACAGACCAGTTGACTTAGTGGAAATGGACCCTGAAGACCCATTTCCAGGTAGTCAGAACTATAATTCATCAAAGTATGTAGAGTCCAGTGTAAAGCAAAGAGTCCAACACATACAGACAAAGCTAAAGCAAAGCACACTCATATGCACATTTAGAAATGCTGGGCAGTATTTCAGATTTGTATTCAGAAGCAAGCTAAATTAATATCAATACATGCCTCTGGATCCTGCCATGAATCCAAGTATAAGAGCCTTTTCTGGCCTTGTAACTTTGTTTGCAGTCTTGAACATTTCCTGTGCAGCATACATTTGCTCCCTCTGTAATAGACACAATAAATGTCAATTCAGCTGAGAAAAACTCTGCCAACAGGGACCACTTTAATACCCACAGATGAGCATAAAAGAACAAGACAAAGGTTTGTTTGTAGGACCTACAGAAAGTTAACAAAAAAGGCATCCTAACCTCAAGGTTTCCCCTCTGCAATCCTTATACCTAACATGCACAGCAGTTCCATTGAACTCTGGACATTGAAAAAAGCACCCCAACTTCAAAGAGTTACAGAAACATGTGAGAGGCTTAACATTAATGTTATCTATTTTGTGTCCTTTATGACATTAGGGAAAAAAGAAAATAATCCAATGCTTTCTCTACAATCCAACAAACCCAGGCTTACAATAATTTCAGAGGATTTCTTTTCCTTTAATAAATGTAGTAGAGGTACTGAAAAGAAGAAGTCGCCCGGCTTGCTAAAGTTCAGATCTTGCAAGCCAGGCTTACAGATGTGCTTAGCAAAGTCTTATGCACATAATACATATCAAACCAGCTATATATGCACCAGGAATAAGAAGCTTTGGGATATATCCCCACTCTCAGGCTTTGAAAAATGTATAATGGCGGGATGAGGTGGATCAGAAATAAAATATTTTACCTTAAAATAATCTATTTTTGTATTTTCTCCTACTACAGCTATGTCAGGACAACTTTAAGCAGTTTCTATTATGTGCAATTGGCTGGGCAATTTCTGCTGGAAATATACCTTTCTCCCAAAATTCTTTATAATGAGCAATACATTATTTTACATAACAAACAGCATACTGCAACATTAACACTGCACAACTAAAAATGTTGTGAATAACATTAAGACAGCATGCTAAACTACAAAGTATTTTTGTAGTCTTTGGTTATAAAAAAAGCAGCCTCAACTACTCCATAATCCAAAGTCCAAGAAATGCCAACATCTAAACAAGATCCAATCCACATCAAAACCATCAGTCAAAAATAATCTGTTTTTACTTACTGTGAGAGAGAGGCTTTTCTTCGGTGGTGGCTGTTGCTGAGTTTGGGGGGCCACTTGTGGTGCCTGTGCCGCAGGGGAGATGGCAGGAGGTGTGGTGGGTGTTAGGGGTGAGGTAGGTGTAGCTGCAGGGGGATTAGAGTTGCTGTTGTACATGGGTGTTCTTTGTTTGAACTGTGCAGGAAGAGTTGTAGTAGCATTTGGAGCTGCAGGCTCTTCAGTCTGTCTGTTGGTCTGCAAGGCCTCTCGTGCAGAGCCAGCTGCAAAAACCAGTCAGGATAGTTAAAACATTATTATCCACAAATAGGGATTAGCATCACCAGTGGCCTTTAAAGAAAGCTAAAATCTCTGATGATTCCATTTTAGCACCATGATTCAATATGCCATCTAATATCCATATGAAAAAGCTAAGAGCTAATGCTCTTTCCACTCAATTATCTTTAGAAATATTTAGACAACAGAGTAACTAGCTGTTCCATATGGATATGCTATATTTAGCATCAAATTTGATGTTTAATCAATATCCAATTTATTAAACTGAAACTGCAATACTTGCTTTTCAGTTTTTATAGCTCTAACAACTGTACTCTGATCCTACCAGGATTGTTGCTGTACTATTACATAGAGCAAGTCAAAAATTATTTCATCAGTTTTTACCTAATGTAGCAGCAGCTTGCAAAGGAAGTGCCATTAAGATACTGAAAATACAAATACACTTTAACAGATGTCATAATTAAACACAGTCTTTACAAATAACTCATTATTTAAACACTAAACTCCTAGAAGTTAAAGCCCCACAAGGCTTAGCTGTTCTTTCTCAAAGCTGACCCATTCAACTGCAATAAGGAAGTTACACTATTCCAAATCTGGCTGCAGTTGGAGGCAGCTCATGAAATCACAGCAGCTTGACCACACAAGTTACCATCTGTCCAGCCAGTGGTAATTACCCAGTGGACACTATCTACATTCTTTTGCAGCTCTTGGACACAGGCTGGAGCACCCTTCACAAACCTCATGAGCTTTAAGCTGACCTGTTTACCCTGTGTTCACAGAAGACTACAGGCAGATACAGATCAGAGATACATTGATGCCCCTTACAGCAGATTTTAGGAAATGAAACATCTATGGTTCTCCACCTTGGCACAGACACAGCAATGGTTTTAGCAATACTGGTATTTTTCAGTAGATGTGGAACTATTGAGAGGATAAACATTTGCAGTATGAGTTATTCCTTATTCTTTTACAAGTTTCATTACTGGCTTTGTCTCTTGTCAAAATAACTGACTTTCACAAAGTAATGTCTTAATTATGCAACCTCAGATTATATGAGGCCAAATCTGGGGATCTTCTGTGTGCATCTTATATCAAGCAAACAGTTTTATGTTCCTAGTCCCTAAGAAAAGAGTACAGAATAGAGAATTTTAAACTAGACTTTTCCTGCTGCTGAACACAATGCCAGCACTCTGGAAAATAGTACTACAGCTGCTGACACACTGCTGTGTTTTTGGCTGCATTCCTTCTGGAGATGCCAATTTTCTGCCAGAGAAAGATGTGCATAGACCTTCAGAGAGATTCTGAACTGTTCTGAGCCCAAATGAAATGACTGGGTCTTGCATCTATGTTGTTTTCTATAATGCCCAAAATGCCACAGCTCACAAGTAAAAATAATATATTAAACTGAAATGTTGCTTCTCTGTTAATGGACAGAGCTGGTAATGAATCCCAGCCATGCACATCTGTTAGCATAAACTGATACATTCTTTTAAAGACTTCACACACAGCAGGGAAGGAAAAATAAAATCAAGCTGGTTAAAATAAAACTGTAGGAAAAAAAGACTTGTACAAACTATTTTTTACTATTGGCAATTTTCTAGAATTGAAAATAACAGCACTTTTTAAAATATGCAGAAGGTCAGCTATTATCTTTGTTACACAAAGGTAGAAGAAAAATGGATGGCTTAATCCCAAACTGTGTGAAAGGTAATATGCACTTGGCTCTAGAAATAAAACTGACTTCTGAAAGCAACTGTTTTGTATGTGCTAGCACGTGTGTGCATGGAATATATACTTCAGACTTATATTGATTACTCTTTGGGGATAGCAAAAGCTGGATCTTCTATTACTGTGTAAGAAAAAAAAAATCAGGAAATTGTTTCACTTACTTGACTTAGCTAGCAGTCTCTCTAAAAATTTAGAGCCAACAATTATTTTCTTTACTTAGGTTAAATGATATGTCTGGTTTCACCAGACTCAAAGGCTGGAGTCTTGCAATGGATTTTATATTGCTAAGGTGGAGTTTCACTCAAGTTGAGGGACAGTAGGTTTGTAAATAAAAGAGCAGGCAGACAGTAAAACTGTACAGAGTTGTAGGCATCAGGTCCCAAGAGGAAAGAAGTGTCTGTTACCTGGCTGTGTTTCAGAGCTTGGGATATAGGAAGAAGACGGCACCACACTGGGGGTAGCAGGTAAATAACTTGTAGAAGGTAGTGCAGGCTCATTGTTCAACGAGCCAAGTTTCTACAGAACAGAAAAGAAAATATTAAAGCCACCCTGCAAGTATTCATGGGCTGTTTCTGCATTTTAAATACAACTTCAACATTTGTTTTACTAAGATATTCCTTTTGGGAACTTAACTGCAGACTCCTCCTTTAGGAGTCCTACCTAACAACCTGTTCAACACTGACTTTCTACTTCAAACATCAGAAATTTGTGCAGATGACACTCTATGAAGAATTGCACTCTAGGACTACTGATCTGCCAGAGGAAACATGCTCTTCACCACTAGCAAGCAGAACCATGTTCATCCATGGCCATAAGGCCTCCTAGGCTATCACCCAGGAGAACACAAAGTCCTCTGGGACACAGGCAAGCAGAAAGCAGCAGTAACAACACAGGCAAAAACGCCATTCCCACTGAAACAGGCAGCCAACACCAACATGACTAATGCCATCTAGGATGATGAGGCTACAGAAAAAGCCTCATTTTGTACCTAATTATACGTGACACTGCATACACAGCATAAAAACAGCAGCATGGTTGATGATTTCACTGCCTGATCCAGCCTTTGAACATAAGGGGTGAGAGAGGAAAGGAGTTTTGGGGGGAATAAGTCTAATAGACGAATTGTTTAAGGTAGCCCTACTATATAAAACATGGACATTCTGTAAAATGTGGAACTTGCCAACACAAAGATTCTCTTAGCACTCTGCAGAAAGAGAGGCAATGACCTTCACTCCTTACTCTGGTCTTCCACAATCTGCCTGTGTGCTGGCCTTGGCTTGTCACACATGCCCAGCAGACAGTTTCTCACTCAAAAGCAAGGGCAGGACATAACATTCTAGTAGAACCTACATCCTGACTGAGGACACAAAACTACACTGTAGTTTCTAATATGCTGTATCTGAAATAGGAGGAAAAAGGCCTACACATGACAGGTTCTTCCTCTCCCTGACTGAAAGCCTTCTAGCAACAGGTTTGCTTTCTCTTTGGTGAAAATATAATGGAATTTTGAAAAAAATTACGTAGAAATTTTTACATAAAGAGACACATTTCAACAAGTGAGTAAAATACCATAACAGTGTTTAAGTGATTTAGAATAGCACATGTCAAGAGTATTTTTCTTTTTTTTTTTCCTGACTAGTTGGTTTTTGTTTGATAGATTTTGCTTGGTTTTACCTGTGTAGATACAAGGCCAGCAGCATAATCTGGGGTAGCATTTTCTACTACTGTTTCTTCTTTGGCTTGCTTTTCCACAACTTCTGTATCTATTGCATAAAAATACAAGTGAGTCCAAACATTTTTTTCAGAAATATTGAATATACTTTTTAAACAAAGATATAAAAATCAATTTCTCAAAGTATGCTAAAACACGCTTGAAGAGGTATATGCTGAAATAGATACAGTAATCTCCAAACACAGTTTTATACTGAACCAATAATGAACTGAACAACAATGTACAGGATACAGTAACTGAGTAATCTGATACTAGAAAGCATGAAAGCCTAAGCAACATTTTAGTTGCAATTATGGTTTTGTTCTGAGGTGTTTTTTTTTTGTAACAAACACCAAAAACTGTTTTAGGAAAAATATGCTGCATAGTGTATATTCTTGATATGGTTAAGTAGGGCACCACCCTGTTACTTGCCTTAAAAGCAGTGTATCAGATATTGTTCACTTGCTAAGAGCTCTCAGTCAAAATTTTGGGAAGTGCTATAAATTTTTTTCAACATTACTTTCACCTAATTCACATGCCCATAGAGACAGCAGAAGTGAGCAGATGAAAACAACTCAGAAAAATGCCACTAGTGAAGCCACTCACACACCTATGGGCTGCCCAAAGCAAAACTGATTAGCTCAATCCTTTCACATGATTGAGTTATATTACCTAGGCCAAGGCAATATGAGTAGGAGGACTGAAACAAGTGCAAATCCTCCTTTAAAACCTATTTGTGTTGGTTGGTATCACATCCCCTAATTTTTGAAGTTTAGCTCAGGCTAATCTTTAGCAAATTAAGAACAAAATGGTACTACAAATCTTGATCCTATTTGCAGGTGTACCGACAGCCTTTGTAAGTAGAATGCTGTACCAACCTAATGTCTTTCTTCTCCTCTTTGCTTCACGGCCAGCACCTACCATATCCAGCTCAGAGATATCTAGAAGCTAAAAAGAAAGACCACAAAGAACTTAATAATCATTCTTAAATGCATGTAGTTTATCTCTAAATATCATCCTCAGGTTTTTTTCCTTGAATATACTGATTCAGAGCAGCAGCAGAAATTCACTTTAGGTGAGAGAAGAGACCTGAGCAGACAAACAAGGAGTGCACCTACCTTCACTCCTCTTTCTTTGCGCAAAGGTGTCCTTGAAGGAGGAATAGGAGTTCTGTTTCCAGAAGGACTAAAAACACTGGGAGCTGAAGTACTCCTGAATGGAGCTTGTTTTGGTATTCCTTTGAGTGGTGCTTAGGGAAGAGCAAAGAAAGCAACAACTGAAATAAGAGTTTAACTGGTTATGAAAAATGCTTTAATGAGTTCTTCAGCTCCTCCCCTTCTTAATGCACACATTAGCTGCCCTTTAAATTAAAATGTCTATAATAAACATTAATATTATAATGTGGAACAGGCTATAGCACTACATGTCCCTCAAAGGTCAGATTAGGTTTTACTTTTCAAAAAGGGAATAAGGGCCAATCTCTGACCAATGCTTGCAACCCCATTCTACATGAAGTAATCAAACAGGTGCACTGCTAACAAAGCCTACTTTTCCTATACACACAGATGCTGTCCTTACTTGTAAAAAATAAACTCTGAACATGTAAGACAGTATAGGACATAAATCTTTTGAATGCCAAAGTTGCTCTTTGATTTCCCCAATCAAATTACTTGATAAAACTGTATTTAACCAAAAATCTTAGCCAAGCTTCTGCAGGGCTAAGGGCTTGTGATATATTGCAAAGGTAAGTTCCTGCCTCACACAGGGGTGTGAAAATCTAGAGCTGCTGTTTGCACAAGGAGGAGGACCAGTCTGGGTCTATAGTGCAAACTGAAGGCCTCCTGTCTCCACACTCAGTAGCATCAGCTACACCTGTAAGCATCTGTTTCCTCCCAACTCTATGATGCTGCCCCTCTACCTCACACTTAATGCTAGCACTAAACACAGCAATCTTTTAACTATTAAAAGATAAGGGATACATATACAGATCTATCAGGTCTTTGAGCTTCCTGACAATCTCATCATTCCCTGATGATAAACAGAGAACTTCAGTTTGAGCTTAGAGACTGTATCCTTCTAAATGTTGTACTGAAAATGTTTCAACCATAGGACAATGCTCTCTCTGACCCATGTGAGTACCTTGCAGCAGAGCAAACCTCAGCAGGTCCCCAACTCCTGTTTCTAGAGGCCAACTGGCTCTAAAGGCCAGGTTCTAAGAACTGGCTTTAATAATTCAGCCAAGAACTAAGAGTCCTTTTCTATAATGGAAAAATTTTAGCTCAAATTACAACTAGACCTTTTGCATTTCCTGCATGAACACAAGGCCAAACTTCAGCCTTCAAAGCCACATCTTAAATAGCATTGACACAAACTACTTCATAGTATTTTGTAGTACTTCCAGCCACAACACCAAGAAATCTCTCAAAGTTTCCCACCTCAGCATCACTGGTGGCCAGGAATGTTATATCTGTGCAATGATTTAAGAGTATGTAACTAATTTAAAACCCTCTTCTCACACCTTATTTGAAAAATTCAAGCAGTTCAAGAAATTTAGCAAACAGCAGAAATGCATTAATACAAAGCTGAAGGATCATTCTACAGGTTTGCCATGTAGAATTCACTGCTCAGCCTTGGCTTCAGAGAACACTGTCCTTTCTTCTTTCTCCAGACAGAATTATACAAATACAAGATAGTTTCAATCTACTCCACAGCATTTCAAAGAGCACAGCATACTACTGTGATCCACTCTGCTCCCTTTTGGAGCAACATGGCTTAGTCAGGAGTTATTCCTGGAGTGATGCAAATTAAATTCCTATCAAAGTCTATAGACATGATCTAGCTGCATACACTTTAGAAGCATGGCAGATATACTTGCCATTTGAAAAACCCCACACACTGTTGTTCTTTCTGACAAGACATGTCAGAAATATTTAAGTATGAGGAGAGAGGGAGGCAGAAAGGGAGAAATCCTTTGCCTCAAAAAAATTTAAGCTTTTGTAAAAAACAGATGGTAATTTTCTTCTTCATCAAGGCTACTTTATCAGGTTTTCATTCTGAGAACTGATGAAAGTGAGCCATACTTGTTGTATCTATCTTCTTGACCAGTCCCCTGCCTTTGGCATGGAAAGGCACTCCTGCAGTCTTCTTGAGCTGCTGTGCGGTTTCTGTTGCTAAAAGGAAAAATGGCTTTAGTTATTACAGAACCTGTGCTGAAAATACATAACACAATGCTTCTTACATAAAATGTTATTAACTAATAGATAAAGAGATATAGGAATATCAACAAAGAAAGAATTGCATTTTAATTAAAACCCAGGTCATTTATGTGAAGTAAACACAGTATTTGGAGAAAATGCAAAATCAGTATGACTATGCAATGGACAAGGTGGCCTAAGCTAAAAGAAATTACCAGAAAAGGCAATTTACTCAGTAGAAATTTAAATAATTTTTAAAAGTTATATGACACATTATGAAAAGTTACAGATTTTGTATTTAACTAGACCAACTCAAGTGACATGCAAGAAAGCAGCAAGCTGCTGCAACAGAACAGCAGCTGCAGTAAACTATTTTAAGACCACTTAGTTCAACCAGCTACCAATACATACATGTACACATGTGCTGCCTTTGTTAAGAGAAAACTCTCTTGGTTTTTACACCCTGTACAGCCACACTGAGTGAAAGAAAGCATTAATCAGCAGCCCTTGCTCTCTGCTCCAAAAGCACATGGCAAAATAAAACTGTCCTCATTTTACTTTTGCTTCAGGAGCTTTAACCAAAGGTGTCCTCAGTCAGACTTTTACATATACCAGGAGAGGATCTATCTGTGCTTTATGAAGCTACAGCTCATTGTATGCCCTGGAATATGAACAGCATTTAAATCAATATTAGCATTTTAATGCAATCCTGGCTGGAATGACTTGCACCTGCTCTTCCACACATCAGTCCATCATCATCATCCAGAAAAGCTCTTGTAATAGAACATTTTAATGTGTATCACAATTCTGGAGAATGAGACAGAATATACTGAATATTAATTGGCCTTTCACCATTTAATTTGTACACAATCTTAATACTACTTACACTTCTGCAAGAGTTCAGCTCTGAGAGTGGCACTTTTAGGTTTCCTTTTCAGCTGGAAATGTTTCACTGGGGGAGTAAGTGGCCCAGCTAGTGTTGTCAAGGCATTTTTGTTTAAGTATTGGCATTCCAACGGCAACATAGCTGAAGTTTCACATTCACTTACTGCATAAAGAGTTAACACAGTACACAGGGGTATTAGCACCTCTTTGACAGCTAATGACAAAACATTTTACAACTAGACTGTACAGGTGGTATTAAATTTTAGATTACTTGTATAAACACCAAGAGTAATTTAACTCCAATTATTACACAATATATAACCAGTTATTAGTATGTTTGTTTTTCCCATTAACTTAATAAAAGCTTCCATTTTAATTATACCTAGTCAAATTATAGGTATCTTAAATATGCTGCTATTGTCAAAAAAACAGATAAAAAATATTGAATTCTCAGATTCCTTAAAAATTACACATGAAAACCAAACTACTGAATGAAAATCCAAATCACAAGTGTGGATAGACAAATGATCATTTGTTTATAGAAAGAAAACAGTGTTTCCACCTCCAAGTCATTTAATTATTGTTTTGCTGCAATCTCCAGCCCTGAGACTGTGTCTGTCCGTGGATGCCCAAGGGCTTTTTCTAGACCATGTGCTAAAATAAACCCACTGGAGTAGGAGTAGTTTTGCATCCATCAGTAGTTTTGCTGCCCTTTGAAGCAGCAACTGTGAATATTTTCAGCTGCTGGGCAGTCTGCAGCTGCTTGGCCATCAGCAGCACAGCTCTTCCTGAGATCAGCCTCCCTCCAGCACCGATCCCCTGCTGTCCAGACACTTCCAGAGAGGCAGCCCCTGCCCAGGACAGTGTGGAGCTTCCACACAAGACAGAGACTTGCTGCTGTCTTGGGTACCACAAATGTGAGTCAGAGCAACACAGAAAATATCTTTACTGACTAAGCTGCAGCACAGCCTGTGGTACTAATGAATCCACACAACTTTTGTGCTGCCCTTCACACTCTGGGCAATAACTGACATTAAATTCTGATGATATGTGAAAAGATAACTTAAGAAGCTACCATTCCTCAAATAGCACAGCTCCCAGGCCAGTAACATTCCAGGTCATGAACTGTGGTAGTCCAGAGACAAGACAGTGCTTGTTCTTCTATCTCTACTTTAAGACAGCAAGGCTGCCTGTGAAATGACAGGTTATTCCTAAAAAAAGGCATCACATTCCTGCAATTTTCACCAACATAAAAGACTTACCTTTCTCTCTAAGCTCTCCTAAAATATCTTGAACATTGGGATTCTGTTCTTCAAGATCAAGGTTAAGGGAGCCAGTATCTGGAAAGGATTTTAAAATATCAGCTACCATTAAGACCCAGGGGTCTGAATCCAAGGTAGCGAGCTGGATAATTTCAGTCAGTGCCCCTTTCATCTAACAAAAAAAGAAAAAGAAAATCAACCAATTGGAAACAGTTTTAAACAGATTATACTTGGATTTATTTAAAAAAGATACAAACATGCACAATGTTTTACTACTGGGGGAGGGAAGAGGGAGACTGTTTCCACACAGTTATACATTAACTTTAGAACCAAGCAAAGAATGAACCAAGGTAATTTTTTTAAACTGCTTTCAGCCAATCTAACCCAAGTTTGTTTTGAGCTTTTGGCAGCTCAAAGCTTTGTTTAGCACTGGGCATTTTTAAACCAGCAGCCAAACTTTTACATTACTGTCTCCTCCTGTTTTACATTCATACTCCCTGTGACCCACACCTTCTATTCAGTGATGGGAATATGCAAATACAATACAAGTTATTTAGAACAGGCATCTAAATGAAGATGTGCCCCTTGCCAGCCTACAGCATAATTACACAGACAGATTGTATCTGCATCATAATTGTCTTCAAAATATTACTTAAGCTGAAGCCAAAATAACCTAATCAATACTGTAGTGTTTGACAAAAATTATGTATTATGGGAAGTAAATACAGCCCTCTTAACATGCCATGACCAACAAGATTTTCCATCTAGCCAAAGTTTCATAGTCAGAAAAAAGTTATTTTTCTATTTTGAAAAATGCAAGTAAATAAATGAAGTAAATTTTAAGTTTCATTGTAACAGAATTTTTTTAATTACTGACCAACATATCTGTTGGCACTATGACATGAAAATCAAGGTGACTGCAGTCAGGGGTTTACTTCGTTCACAAGTAAGTATAAACCCCCAAACATTGAACTTTCTTTTTTTCTAAGTAAATTTTCATGTAAGCATGACAGCACAAGCTTCAGTGAACTAAGATGTTTGAGATAATTTGTGTGTCTAACAAGCCACAAAACACAACAGTAAAATCACATAAAGTAGTTTACCATACTCTATCTGCACTGTATTAACACTGAAGAATGTACAAGCAAGTATAAGGAAATAGATAAATTTTGATTTTTCACCACCCACTGTGGCACATAAAGCTTAGTTACAGTCATCATGTATCTGAACACAGGAAGACAAGCAAGAGACTCATCTTCACCTTCATGTTGTTTCTTTCCCTTTATTTAAAGCACTCTTATATGAAAAGGCTTAATAAAATCAACTTACTCTATGCATACAACTCTAAATAAAAGAAATAAAGTTAAATTTCTGCTCCCCATTCCTCTCCTATCCACTTTTAAAGCTCAGAGGCAAAAAAACATTGACATTTCTCAAGTCCTTTCATCTGCACAATGTTATTGCCCTCTCACTTTGGAAGGGTTTATAAGTCCACTCCAGAGCCAGTTTGTCCTTTACCCCCTGCATGTTTTAGGGCTCACACATTGTGTGCTTGTGAAACAATCACTCCATCTGACCCAAAATGAGCACCTCTGTAGCTTAAAGCTGACCAGCTCCTCAGAGTGACTGACTGCAGCCACACCAACACCAGAACCACAAAGAGAGGAGCAGGAAGAATGCAGTACATGGGTCAGTTCCCATCTTAGCAGTGCCATTGATTTGCTTTGGATTAAACTGAGCCCATAACCAGGAGCACACACTGTTTAATGTGCTGTCAAATTTAACCAACGCTTCTCCAGTGGAAAGAATCCATTTCTGAGGTTCCAGTCTTTGCTGCTTCTCCATTGCTCATTTACTCCTCAGTAAGCACAACCCCACCAGAACCTCCACACACTTGTCCAGCTCTCTATTCTAACCCTAAACTCCTTAACAAAAGTCACTTCTCCAGTGGATGAGAATGACTGTGAACACTATCAGAGCAAAGTCTTTTGTTCTTTTATCTGTCCTAAAGGAGTCAAGGTACTGGTTTACAAAAAACACCTATAACATCCCAGAAGCTGATGAATTCATAGCTTTCACAAGCTTTTTCGTGGACACCACTAATGCAGGTAAGTGTACAGAATATCATTTCCTTCATAAAAGCAAAGTCAGAGGAAAAATGTCTCTTGCATCCTCACAATTTACCCTTCATATCTGCTTCACAAAACTCCTATTTGTACCAAAATTCACAGAGCTACATGCCCACACTATGAATGTTCCTGTAGAACTCTGGTCTGGGCATGTTGCATCCCCTCTGCTCTCAGGGTTGAAGTTCAGGCAGCCTATTTATGCCAAAACCCACTGCTTAACAAGCTTTTGGTTCCTTCAAGAAAGGAGCCCAGAAACATTTTTTTTTGCCTAGCATGGGGCAAATAACATTATCACAAAGCCTCATGACAGAAAGAACATGGTGAAATAAGTCACTATCACACACAGGGAAGCAAAGCACACTAACAAGTACTGTGAGCTAACCAGAGACCTTGCCTGAATATGGCTTTGCATTTAACAAGCCTGGATTTGAGTTTTGACTCAGGTTTGCCTTCAAATGGCAATTTAAATACATGTCCCCACTTCACTGTTCAACTGGCAGCTGAAAAGAAACATTTCATTTGTAGTTTGAGAATGCATGAAATGCAACTCATCAGGGAATTCTACATGCAATTTTCCTATTACTTTATAGGGCACATTCTTAATTGTCCATGATTGCAACACTTGGGTCATTAAGACTCCCATCAGCATCTCGTTAAGCATGAATGTCAAGATCTGATGTAACATGTTCCAGTGTCTTTCTCGTCTAAAACTCAAGGATCTTAAGTATTTTTATCAGCTTCCCAGCACACAAGAAAAAGCACAGGCCACAGCTAGAAACATCTAGCAAGCAGGGATCAGGCAGGATGGGAAGTGTCTGGGAACACAGGCAGATTAATAATGGCTGTGCAGGAAGGACAAACAGGACTGTGGGAAGGTATTTAAGAGGAAGTGTTACTTGTAACACACAACATGACAGCTCCAAGATGACTACTTGCAAATATTTCACATTTATTTGCTTTGTATTCTGCCTAAATTAATGTGTACAACAACACTTTCAGACAACTGTATCAACAGTTGGCTAATAAACCAAATGAAGCTTTCATCTTTCTGAGGCTATAGAAAAGATGGTATTTAATAGGTAGCTGCATTATCATTATAGAATATTTTCATTAAACTAAAAGCATTAGATTGGAAACACAGTATTAATATTTACACAATACAGACCCAGGATGGGTCAATACCACTATTGGATGTGGTTTGCATTTTAATCACGAAAAAAAGCTGAAGTGGCCAAGAGAACTATTGGATTAAAATATCCCAATTTACATCACAGAATAATTATGAACTCTAAGTGCAGGCCAGAAAGGTGCACAGCAGCCTGTGTGCTCTCAAAACAGAGGGAAATGCAAGTGTCATGTCCCCTCTCACTCCTTTGCACCCACCCTCCACAATCCCCACTTCCCTGCAGAGATGGCTCCTGGTGCACATAAGCTAGTACCAGGAACAGTTTTGATTTCTACTGTAATAAACAGGCAGGTTCCTGCTGGGACAGGGAGCCTCCTCTCAAGACAATTCAGAGAGCACAGAAGCACAGTCCTTGTTCCAGACTTGGTGTAACATCACAGTCTAACCCTGAACAAATAAAATAAATACTGGCATAAAAAGAAAGCTTGCACTTGCCATTGTGAATCATGTTAACAAGAATATAATATGCAAAATAAACAAATATAACAGTTCTGCCAAATTCACAACTGAAACTCTGGTCAGCACTACGCTGAGCTTCTGGCATCATTTCGAATAAGTGCAATTATCTAGAAAAAAATTAACAGATGAAAAGCCATAAGATTCAAGAGTTTTCAAGTTCTTCCCAGAGAATTACAGTGGGAAAGGAATTTTTGATAACTGCCTACAAGACACAATTTAAAATGAAAATGAAAGCCAATTATTCTTATTAGTCAGCAGGAACAAACATGCAGTAATGAGGTTCACAGCATGATAAAAAATTAGTTTTATTACCTGTCCCACAAGAGTATTATGAGGACTAAGTCACTTATATCTATACAGTATCTGGAGTGTTGAATGAAAACATTATGAAAATTGAAAGATATTACATATGAGGATAAAATCACTTAAGTGAAGGACTGAGCTTTCAAGAGGGCTCACTGAAGATTCACTTGTCTAGACTGAAGCTTTCACAGAGATTTAGAAAGGACCAGGAGCAATTAAATCCCTTCTAAACCAAATACCACGAGTTTCCTTGAATCCCACATTGCTTTTTACTCAAATGTCTGCTCCCAAATGGTTTCTGTGTTATTCTAAGCTTTCATGAAAATGCTATTATACAGAAACAGAAAAAAAATTAGTTTGAAGAGAAAATAACTCCCTTGAATCTGTTATCTTGAGAGGGGAACATATTTTAACATGTAACACATCCTGTAGCTGCTATTGAGATTCCCAAAGCTGTACAAAGCTGATGCAATGCATTTTCCAATACAATTAAGCTTCCAAATGCCAGCTCGGTGCTTCTCGCACAGATCGATACAGACTGGCACATGGCACAGGAAAGACACAGGACTTTCCAAAGAGAACCATTCAGCACCCTCACAGTTCACTTTAATCACTTTCAGACATGGGGGTGATCTCCAAGTGAGAAATTCACTTCCAGGCAGCTGCAGCTACCCTGTCCTGGCAGGAACCGCTTCCAGCACTCCCCAGCACACAAGCAAAGGCTGCTGCAGAGATGTGCACAGCACAGCCACTCTGGACACATTTCTCTCTTTTCTGGATATTGTGTGCAAGGGCTGCTGCAGAGATGTGCACAGCACAGCCACTCTGGACACATTTCTCTCTTTTCTGGATATTGTGTGCAAAGGCTGCTGCAGAGATGTGCACAGCACAGCCCTTCTGGACACAGACATATTTATCTGGATATTGTGTGCAAAGGCTGCTGCAGAGATGTGCACAGCACAGCCACTCTGGATACAGACATATTTATCTATTTTCTGGATATTGTGTGCAAGGTATTCCATGCCAATTAAAACAGTGAAATTTTTGATACTAAGTTAGGTGACAAATCTGCACAAACAAAACTATCTTAGCAAACTAACCACAAATGATGAGCATCTGATATGACAACAACCCTTTCTGTCAGCAGTTTGGTTACATCAGCTATTTTTGCCATCTATAAAAAGAAGCCTGTAATAATAATAATAGTAGGCCTACCAGCAATGTTAAGGGGTTTTGCCTCAGGGGTTTTTCTATTTTTCAGCTTTTTTTAAGGCCCTTCTCCCAGTTTAAGGAAAAAATCACATGTTCCTGAAACAACTAAAGATGCTAAGGGTAGATCTCAATCAAGAGATCTCAATCATCAGTTTACAATAAAAGATTAAGCTTATGATTGAATTCATGAACTCTGCCAAACTGAGAAATCCCACACTATTTTGTTAGAGCAGGAACAAGAGCTTTACATTTGGAACACAACTGACCACTTTTACACAGTAAAAGGCACACTTACTGGCTTTTCTCTACATTTTTCTCTACACTTTATCTTCCACAGCTAACACAAGCACAGATCCAGGAAAGCTGCTGGCAGCTCTTCCTCAGGTTTGGTTTAAAACATTCACCCAGTGAGCACACTTGAAGCATTTCAACAAATTATTTCAGTTTGTTTGAATGCTGCTCCCTCCAAGAGTTGCCATGAGTGCCATTTATGAAGGTCCTAAGCTCTTTGAGGCTCTTTTCAATCTAAAAACACCACTGATTTTTCTAAACACTGCAATACTAATTTCTGCCAGGCTACTTGGATTTTCACACTAAGGTCACAAGAATTTTGCAAACTCACAAGTTCACACGAGCTCCCATCCCCCTTTCTGGCCTGGATTATTTTGTTTGTCCAGAACACAACCCCATTTATCACACACAAGGATGACAGCTTGTTCACTGGACAGGCACTAAACATGAATATCATGTTTTAAAAATCAGCATAAAGACGCTGAACTAGAATTTAATTTTTTTTAAAGTGACACCAGTGTAACACAGTGAAGAATCATACAGATATATATGGCAAGACAAACATTAAATGGCATATGGCAAGACTTACACTAAATTATTTCTTAAAGGTGATGCTTGCCCATTTTCAGCCTAGAACTGCACAAAAGCTGAGCATACAACAATCCCAGTTACATACCACACCCTGCCTGGTATATATGTATATTTAGCTTAAGCAGCAGTTGTCTTAGCCAAGAAAGACTGGTGAAAGCACAGCTGAGGATACTCTACACAGGAAGGTGAAAACTAACTCCACACCACTTCCATGATTGTTACCAGGAAATACTACTTTACATGATGGAAGCAGGAGAGGAATTCCTTCAGTCTGGCTGAAGAAACCTAATATTTCCAGACATTCTCCAGCTATTGCCCCAAACATCTGTAGCTGCCTATTGGCAAGAATAAGCTGGGTGCAGATGAGGCACAGTCCAGGGCCAAGTGAAAAGGCCTGCAGAGCCAGCTTAGACTCGAGCCAGCCAGTTTATTAGCTGGGGCAGGACAACAGAGGAAAGCACCAGCTGCTCCCAGAAAGGTAAAGAGAGGCAAACAAAAACTATGGCAATCTTCCCCCATCAAGACCTGACTGCAGGAGGGTGGGGAAAAGCACTGCTCAGTGCAGACCCCAGATCTTCCACTGCCAAAGTTTCAGCACTTGCTGCTGTCCTCCCTAAAGCCGAGATGCTCGACTTGTGACACCTCCACAGCCGCCAGTACTAAGGCAGGAGTGGAGGAAGCTGAGCGCACACACGGACCGCTCCTGAACGATCCTGCCTCTCCCCTAGCCGGGGCACAAGCACTGCCTCAGAAAAGCCCTTTTCCGTAAAAGACACCCAAAAGACAGCCCTAAAATGAGTCCCTGTAGGCCACACAATGGATTTCGTGTCCAAACGGCTTCCAAAAGCCTAGTGCCAAGCAGGGAATCCCCGAAGAGCAGGAAGAGGAGGAGCAGCAGCAAAGCTCCCACTCCACTCACTCCCTTATAGCGGGGAATCTCGGCGCTTTTCCTCGCACCGAGGACCGAGTCGGGAGACCTTCTTCACTTACTGCTGCCCGTCCAAGGAAGGCTGCGAGGGAGAGGCGGGGAAGGCTGTGGGGACCAGCCCTACCACACGCCCCTGCCCTGAGGGGCTGCGGCCGCTCGGCTTCGCCCCGCGGGCAGCCCGGGGTCGGTCCCCCCTCCCCGCAGCCCCCGTGTGGAAGAAAAAGGGCGGGCGGGGGAGGTGGTGCTGGCACTGCCCCCCTTTCTCCCCTCACGCCATCTCCGACCTCTCCCCCTCACACACACACACACACACAAACACACGCTCCCCGCTTCGCTGCGACTCCCACCCGGCTCTCACCTCATCCACCGCCCGGCGGGGCAGGTGCAGCATCCCCAGGAGCAGTTTGAGCTTGACGGCCGAGGAAAGGCCGTGGAAACAGAGTCGGATGTTGTCGATGACCGAGGCCGTGAGCAGCGAGGCGATGCTCGGCGGCGCCCACAGCTCGTCCGTGGAGCCCAGTTTGTTGTGCAGCCACAGGCCGGTGTCGCTCTCCCGCATCGACGCCATCTTGGGAGCGGGGCGAAAAAAGAGGGGATTCTCGACGGGCATTTTATGAAGGCACCTAAAGGGAGGAAGGGAGGGGGTGAGGACCCCTGCGGGTCGCTGTCTTGTTCGTAAGCCAAAATGGCGGCGCCCAATGAGATTGCGCTTGGGAAGGCGGAGGCTATGCCGTAACCTAAAATGGCGGCGCCCAGGAGGGGAAATGAAATAAGGCGCTTCTCATCTCTCGGCCAAGTGCAAAATGGCGCCCGCCACAGCTTTTCGTCCGTACTGCAAGATGGCGCCGCTTCACTGTAGAGAAGTTCCTCTGTCAGCCCCAGCTCATTGTCCCTCACAGTCCGCCCTGACTCCTCCTGGGCAGAAATGGGCGGAGAGCCGCGAGCGCGCCGCCGAGGCGCGGCGGGGCTGGAGGCAGAGCTTCCTGCCCGAGGTGGGCTGGCCCCGGCGCCTCCCGGCGCGGCGCTTTCCGGAGCACCACGTCTGCTTCCCTCACAGCCCCAAGCCCCCTCAGGCGGGCGGGCAGCCCGCTCCCTCCACGCCCGGCCCGTGTTCCCACCCAGCGCCTCTTCCTGGCGCTAATGCCCCCTTAAAACGCTTTAATCGGAGCAGCTGGGCCGAGGCGGAGAGGTGCTGCCTCTGCCAGGGGCGCAGTGTCTTCTCCATGGCTTTGCCCGGAGGTTGGCGCGCTGGGTGCCTCAGCCATGGCGGAGGTGACCTCGGGGCCGTGGCACAGGGGGAGGGCGCGCAGAAAGCCGCAAACATTCGTGTTCCCATGCGATTCGGCTCGTGGTTATTTAAATGTGAAAAAATGAATCAGTTGCCTAAATCCCGGAAGATTCAAGGGGCTTTCAAGCGCAGCATAGACGGTTCATTTTAGCGCGTCTCTGGTGGAAATTGAAGTTACAGGAGTTGTAGGAGAGCAGATTCTGCTGATCTCTTTCTCCTACGTTTTTGGATGAAAACGTTTTTTTAACAACATTCCACCTTCCAAAGACGTTGTATACAAGCTGATTTCTCTCGGAGAGCAGAGCAATTGTTGCCGAGGTGCTCTGGATTTCCTCAATATAGAATCACAGAATCCTTCAGGACGGAAAAGATCTTAAAGATCACCAAACATCAACCCAGCACTACAACCCAGGCCACCACTAAACCATGTCACCAAATGCCAGCCACATCTCCAGTCTTTTGAGCACTTCCTGGAATGGTGATTTCACTGCTTCCCTGGGCAGCCTGTTCCAATGCTTAACTACCCTTTCAGTGAAAATGTTTTTCTTACTATTAAATCCAAATATGGCATCATGGAGTCTTTTATTTTGTTCATGTTACTGATATCCAAAATGCTGAGTGTCTGCAGCTCTTGGGTGCTATGACTTCTGACAGTGTGGAAGTATTTAGAGACAAAGAGTTTCTGTGTGCTAAATTATATATTAATACATTGTGAATTTTTCCCTTACCTTATCATGCCTTTTTTTTTTTGGTACCATTGCTACCAAATTGGTACCACCAATTTATACTCAAATCTGATTTAAGACAGATCTTTTGTATGCAGTGAGCTGATATTTTATAAACAGCAAAATCAAAGTTGAGGCATTTTGTGTAGCACATAAATATCCAAAATTTCTCTCTCAGTATGTGAGTTCAGCATGTAGCTGGGGGGGAATTACTTATCCACAATTAACTATTTATCTGTTTGTGCAGAAAAAAAAAATGTAACTAAGACACTGAGGTAAATTATTAAATTTGAAACAGAATAGGAAATTAATTAAAGCAAAAGGCTTAAATGTAGCTGTAAAGGAATTGCATTAGTTTTGTCATATAATCAACATGTAATTATCACTAGCAACCTTTGCCCTCCATTAATTATATCCAGCTGTTAAAGGTAGGCACCAGTATTGGTAAGTCTTTGGTACATCCTTATCTATCGGGTAAAATCCATTAGATAGTGTAAAAAAAATCTGATTAGGCAAGGAAAACTAGTGATGTTCTCATGTTCTAATTGTGCAGAAAAGTAACCAACTCCTTTTAAAGTTATGTTGGGGGAGGTAAACCAGAACGTGTTTGCACAGCTGGTTGTCTTCAAGCAGTGGCTGTAAGAGGGTTAACCTAGTTCTGTGAGATGGGACAAACTCCACCAGTTCAGGTGGCTGGCCTGGCTATTCTTTGAAAGGATTGCTCTGTTTCCTTAAAGTTATTGTGGGATTTGGTGCTGCCTTTCTCAGGAGAGCCAAACTGCAGGCTGATGGAAGCTAAGGAAGGTTATTACACACCCTCTGTTCCTGTGCTTTCCTTGAGGTATCTATTTTTGAACACTGTCAGTGTCAAGGCACTGAGCTGCATGGCCATCTAGTCTGAGCTGCTGTGATCACTTCTGTGCTGTTATCTGAAGTGTGGCTTGAGAAGGGAGCCCATTCTGTGATGTGTATCTGGCATGTAAGGATTTGCATAGTCAGTTTGGCTCCAGCCCTGTCACCTGCAGATTTGTCCCTCTGGCTCTTAACTGAAGAGGCATCAGACACTCTGGAGATTAAGACAAAGTGCCAGCTTGTTGTAAGAGCTTTTGTCCTGCCAGCTACTTGTACCTTAAATTTCTGTTGGAATAAAGTGCTTTATTATTTTTTAAACCTAAATTTTGTTTAGCTTGGGTAGTGATTTTCAGAGTGATATGGCAAATATAAAAAGTCTCATTCCTCAGGGATTTCTGGAGCTGGAAAGGGCACACTTGATTTCTCTGGAATACTTTATATCTCTCAAGATGTTGCATTGCACAGATAACTGTCTGCAGATGTTTTTTCTGTAAGTGCAGGTCCTTATTTCAAAGGTGGTAATGTTGAATATGAAATTGTTGAGAAGAGTTGGAGCATACTACAAAATTGACCAGGGGGACACCCTGGATTCACTCACCTGGTCATAACAGTATTCAAATAAGAGCCAGACATAGGCAAGGGTTCATTTATTTGAATCTGCCTTATAATTGTTTTAAGAAAGGTGCAACTTTGTCTCACACCAAAACCAACCTTTCCCAACCTGCAGATTTAGCTTGTTACCTGTTGAAATATTATCTATCTCTCTAGTCCTGCACTACCCAAAGCAGGGTGCTGTGTTACCTGTCAGATCCAGGAGAGTTGTTTGTACCCAGCAGGATGTTCAGGGGCAGAGCCTGGAGCTATCCTGGTTCAAGGGGAAGCAGCACAGCATCTGGTACACTGCTAGGCAGAGGTTTCAGCTGGGTGTTGGCACTGATCTCTCAGTGAACAAGAAGCTGCTTTGCTGTTCTTAAGGCAGTGCTGGCATGAGCAGTGGCACTGAGCTCCCACTGGCACCAGAGGCAGGTATGGCAGTGTCTGAGCCAGCAGGGCTTTGGGCTGTGAGTCATGCCGTGCTCACAGGGGCCAGCCCAGGAAGGCAGACAGAGCAGTAGATTGTGTATTATCACGTAATTATCCTCCTGCTCCCCCAGCATTGCCATGAGGACTGAACAACAGCTTTTCTGTGAACTTTTGTGTTTGTATCTTGAGTTCTAAATACCACATCTTTTCCATAGGCTTTTAAAGCGCAGTTTCCTAGGTTTTCAAAGCAGAAAAAGAAGATAAATTTTATCCTTTGATATCAGGCTGACATGTAAGTTTACTGTGGGGTTAAGCTTTTAGAGCTGTCAGGGGCACTAATGGAGTAACTGGTAGTAGTACAAGTCTAATATCCTTTATAGTAACTGACAACAGAGGGTTCTCAGTGGGTCTAAGGTACACAGTTAATTGTTATTAAGCAGTAGTTGATTTTTTAAAATGGTATTCAATGTCAGTTTGAAGACCTGTAAATACATTATACATTTTTATGGTAATTCAGTTTGTGAAATGCTGCTTATTATGGGTTAATGCAATTGTGTGGGTGCATCATTTTGTGGGGGAGTTTTATTTGACCCATTTTAAGACAGCTGTAGCAATGTGATCTGAGAGGACACATGGGGTGAGAATTTACTCAAATAAAACCAGATTATCTGACTTCCTCAAGTCTAAAGCAAAGCTTCCTTGTGGGAACCTCCTGTGTCAGCTGTGACACAGCCAGCTCCCTTCCCTGGCAGGCAAATCCTCTGGCAGAAATAAAGATAAATAAAGATAAAAGCTATGAAAAATGTCCTGGTACATCTTCTCCTGTGAATTGGCCTGGCATGATGGGCAGTAATTGTTTCAATGGTGCTCTGTCCAGCTGCCTGTGTCCAGGATTATGCTTACATTGCTGTCATACCATCTTGCAACTCCAGTCACATGATGTTGTGATTATTTTCCCTCTCAAATAAACTTCAAAGTGATGTAGTGACTTAAGACTAATGATGAAAAAGGCCCATGAAGAGGAAGAGGTTGAACTCAGGACAGTAATTTCCCTTCTATCTTGCTCTAGAGCAGTTTAACTTGATACACTCCCAGTCTGGGCTCTGATGTGTGGCTAATGGGGCCTAAACACTAAAGGTCAGCAGTAATGAAACAATTTCATTGAGGTCTCTGTAGAGCAGCACACCTACCTGAGAGCTCCCATCCTTGAGGGAACTTCCATTTGTTTGGAAACATATCTGTTTGATTGCCTTTGCCACCTCTTCCACTATCTTTCTTTTACTCTTGGTTTTAGTAAGATTTTTAATACATTCATGTAACAAAAGGAAGAATTAAAACTTATTTAAAACATGAAGCTATGAATACAGGGCTCAATTAACTTCTCAATTACTTCTAATAAATAAGAACACCATCACTATGAGCAGTCCAAATACCATTAATCAAACCTAACAATGTGGGAAATTAAAGAACATTAGAGGTTTTGAAAAACCCCTAGGACCTAAAACACAAAGTGTTGCACACAAATAAATTTGTTGTTTTAGAGTAATATATTTGCCTATGCACTGTGCTTCAAATCATCTCTGCTTATGATGATATGGCCAAGTGGTAGAAAGGCCTTGCACTGGATCATCTGTTACTTGACATCTCATGGTATACAGTGTATAAAACATCCCATTGGTATTTTGCTGGAGGCATAATGCTTTCAGCAGCTGTCACAATGAAATTGTGCTGTGAAATGAGGGGTATTAAGGTTGTGACATCAGGGCATGTTGAGACAATGCTGTGATCTTCCACAGGGAAGTCGTGAAGTTTTGAAGGAAGAATGCTTCCCTCTTCATAACCCCCAGGACTTTGTTGCCAACACCTACAAGTTTCTTTCCTTTTTTCTCTCCCTCTTTGTTATGTTTCAAAAACTATTCTTCATCTTAGTTCATTTTTTATCACTCTTCATGCATGTGGAATTCAGGAATGTAGGACTGGATGAGATATCCTACATGACTGTTGTTATTCTATTT